GGGGAGTGTTACCTCCACCACCAGTCGAGCTCCCGGAATTTTTTAACCATTGTGGTACTAATGAAGGCTCACTTCTATCCATCACTAGTGCTAAACATTATCCTTTCCAAAGAAAAAATGGGAAGAAACTCAGCGTGTCTTCTCCGTATTAATGACCATGGATCATCTGCCGCGTGCCAATGCCAATTAACAACGTGTCCACACAGAACCGAACAAAATTTAATGCTCCTTCAAAAAGAATTTGAATAACTTCTATACCAAATCTAATGCCACCAGTTATACTAATACCACTTGTCTCCCGTCAACACTCCAATTTCTCCGCTCGAAAACTTATATCTCCGTATCAATCAAAGAATCTGAATTCTCCTATACATGGTAGCTACGGTTTATCTCTCTATCCTTCTGTACAGATAAAATCGTACCGTTGTCAAGTAAATTAAAAACACCTATACTTTCCGTTTCTTCGAAAAATCCGAATTTCTGCCACAACTCCACTGTTCCAAAACAGCACTAACAACAGTTTCTCAATGCTCAGAGAGCACCCTCATATAATAATCAATTCAAAATCACCCTACTTCAGCAATCCCTCAAACAGAATTCTAAAAAAAAAACCGGTGAAACAATTCAAACCCTAGACCCCAAAATCCACCCAACGATAAGAACAAAATCCGAGAAAACCCTAGGGTTTGAGCAGCCAATCAACACAAATAGATAACCAGAAAAATCAGAAACAGTCTACACGTATCAATAACTTCAAAAAAAATTAAATAGACTGAATCCAAATTTTCGGATTGAAATTAAAACGAACACCAGTACCCTCAAAAACTCCTCCGACAAAAAAAAAAACCCTAGTCCTTTTTTTCTCCACTCGCCGCCTTGAGTGGTTCTCTGCTGCCGCTTCGTGCTATGAAACAATATATACGAGTGCCGTCGAATTTTCTAGAGAGAGAAAAAACCAAGTGCCCTGTGTTTAACCCCCACACAAATTCCTGGGCTCTTTGCGTGTACTGTGAGGAGATTTTATCTGTGTGTGTGTGTTCTCGAAGGGGAGGGAGGAGATTAGAGATAGAAAATTTGTATGTATATGCGCCTGTATATATTGTGTGTGTGTGTGTGTGTGTGTGTGTGTGTGTGTGTGCGTGCTTTTTTATGTGTTGTGAAGAAAAAACTGAGTATTTTATAGGCAGACCTATTTCACATGGATTAGGAGTACTTTGAATACTAATGACTATCAATATCCTTTCTAATCTGTATCTATACCCAACCTATATATATTTTTCATTTTCCTCTATTTTTTATTTCTTTTTATTTTTTTTATTTGAGGATTTATTTCTTCAATTTATTTCCATTTTTCCCAAAAAAAACACCCCAACCATGACTTTTGGAAAAAGAAGAAAAATAATATAATTGACTTTGAAATGGCTGATTATATAGTCACACACATACTAATATATAAATATATATATAAATAATGTATATATTTAATATGATATTATATACAACGATAGATATAATATTGGAATATAAATGGGGGAAATAAGGAAAATAATTGCATCTATTTGGTTATAAATTAGTGTGATGAATGTAGAAGTGGTTTAACCGATGGTACAACCTCGTGAGTTTTTTGCATAATTACGAGCATCCCAATGAAACTAACGGGATCGCAAAAAAACTCGAACATAACATAGTAATTGTGTAGATACTCATGTCTTAAACTAATTAAATGAAATACAAAAAATTGTATTCAATTTTCTAATTTTCTTACCCTCATGCAATATAAAACCTTACACATAACCCCTTTTATGATTTATGACACAAAAACAGCTAGGACAAATTAAACAAAAAGAAGTTTAAAAAAATTATAAAGAAAAAATAGAATATTTTTTACAAACCTTACAATTAGACTCCTAATAGTATTCTGGTCATTATAAAATGGATATTCCATGGAATCTATTTCATTCCGTTACTGTTAATTCCGTGAGAGTAGATTTATAAGAAGAAGAATACCTCAAGGTGGTGCTCATAATTACACAAATTATGAGGATTTTTTTTGTAATTAGACGTTACCTCAGAGGAGTCATTGTAACTTGCCCTGCTTATTATAAAATGTCATTGCTAAGAGAAATATTGGCAAATAGAAAATGTAATGTAATCTAAATTGAATTAATTACACAATCTTATTTATAGTAGAAAATATATTAGTGATATTCACTGAGTATAACATCAAATAAACCGTAAAAATGGAATTAAGTTTAGAAGTTTCTTATGCCATGATTTAGAAAGTAGAGTGATCCTCTCCTATATGTGGATTAGCATTGACCATTCGAGAATATCTCCTAAATTTATTTATTTTTAAATATAGAAAAGTATATTTCTTGATAATGTGGAATTTAAAGAGATATTTCTTGAATATCACCATCATAATTCGTATATGCTTGACTCATATATAATTATAATTTTGTTTATTCGAAAATTTTACCAAGAACATTATTTTACAATGTTAAGTTTATATATGTTTTTTAATAATTCAGTTGAATTTACTATTACAGTACTTTGAAAAAAACTATCATTTACCCGATCGTTTTTTATGTAATAATACGTGTGATGTATTTATTATATAATCATTATTTTTAATATGTATAATCAGCTTATTATTTTTTTCCCAAAAAAAATATTTCAAACATGTGACATAACTTGTAAATATGAATGATGTTGACCCTCTTCATTTTGTCATGTCTTAAAAGCTATAAATATTTAATATTTATGTCCAATTATTTTATTAGTTTCAGTATTTTTTGTTTCTGGTTGACCGTTTAAATCCCATTTTCGCACCATAGTCTGCAAATTATTCAAAAGACGTAAATCGCAGTTTTCACATAATTTCAGGATAAACGAGAAGCTTCAGATATTATTTTGATTTTTTTTTCTTCTGAAAAGCTTAACAAACACGAATTTATTTCGAGAAAAGAATAAACGTGAAATGAAATGGAAGCTCACTAGGGAATCAAATAGAAAGCCCAAATACAATATAATATGGAGTAGTGGACCTAAATTATTATGAAGCCCAAATACAATTTCATACGGTAAATTGCAGTTTCGACCCTGGACTTTACGCACTTTTGCACATTACCCCTTCATCTAAAAAAAAGTCGCAATATTTAACTCGAACTTTATTATTTGTTGCACCGGTGATGTTAAAATCCTATTTTCGGCCAAAAACTCATCGGAACGCTAGGCGTGTGGACTGCACGTGATTTTCTCGGGGGTAAATTTGTCAAACCACATAAAAATATAGAATTGAAAATGAAAATGTCACACTTTATCAACATAACTCTACATTAACCAAAAAACCAAGTATAACAACAAGCATACAAATCTTACACATCCAAAAAAGAACAAAAGAAAAAAAAAAAGGCAGCACTTAAGAAAATTTAAACTGGCGAATTAAATTACGCGAATTTACCGACATTCTTTGTTGAGGAAATTTGTTCACGAGCTTCCCTGTAATGGACGATATCCTTTGAACATGTCTGCTACAGCACCAGTAGTTTCTCGAAGATCGCTCCTCATACGTACAATTTTTGATCCCACGTACTCTTTATAAGTCGAAACCGAATTAATCAAATCAAAGAGTTCCTTAGCGCACTGTTTGACTTCTTTATCCATTCGCATGATAGTTTCCTGCAATTCTGCCTTGGATGTCTTCACCAAAGGCAATGTCAAGTAACAAAGTGGTTGAAATCACTGTTCTATTGCAAATAAATAAATACGGGAAATTGAAATTTACCTTCAAAAATTCTTCGGCTTCTTTTTTGACAGTAGACATTTTTTGAGCATCCGTTTCGACTTGTTCGGCCAGTTTTCTAGCTTCTGCTACACATCTAGATGCATATTCGTTCGCGTCTTTTCTGATTGCATTCAACTCGGCTTCAACCTATGTAATGAAAGCATTTGAAACGATGTTTCAGATACTAAAAGAATGTTTTAAGAAATCAAATACAATAACATACTTCAACATTTATGTCGTCCAGCAATTGACACAAAAAATGGTCGAAACTATTTACATTCTTTTGTAAAATCGGACATAAAGTTCTCAGTTAATGATTCATTCAAACACACATAAATCCATACGGAGGCGACCAGCCCAGATTAAAAGGATTGCCTTCCTCAGTTCTTTCTTATTCGCAACATCTTTAGGCCTCGTTTTTTCAGCTAGAAAAGTTGTTGCATTAACCAAACATCAAAATAGACTTCAATAATTTTTAAGCCAGGTATAAACAAAACAACATGGAATTATTGAGCCAAAATCATGGATCAGGTGAACCATAAATAACAAACAGCATGTACTGTAGATCATATAAATTAAACCTCCAAGAAACCGCAACACCTGATTTTCCTCCCCAAGACTGATTAATATTTTTCCTCCGATGAGTTTCTCAGTCTGACTGGGAAATGGTTGCATACCGTACATTCTACAGTGAACATCTAAAGACTACTTGTTAGACTGTATTCTATTATCCTAATTTACTAACACATTTAAATCCTTAACTACAGAAAACAAGGGAAAAGATATATGCTAGGGGTTCTGAGTAGGATATCAAACAAAATTAAAAGGAATTACTAGGAAAAAAAATGTCAAGACTACATAAACATTCTTCGTTTCCTCCATAGAATATATGGCGTAGCTACTCGAAAGAATTATCAAGATTCTCACTTGAATTTTATTATAGAAAACAAACGGAAGTTAAATGCACAACCAAATTCTAGATGTAATTATTAGGAAAATTTGTGAGACTAGTATTAATAATAAGTGAAAATCAATATCTTTGGTTTAATTGTGAAGATGCCACTTGATACAACTAAAGGAAGAATAAGATCTGTAGCTGGAACTACCACGCTATGGACTCAGCTTTGTTAAGAGGACTTAATTAGTCGATTCTCAGTTGCATAAAAAAAATACAGCTACGTCATACTATCTAAGGGCAAAAACAACATATCACGCAGTAGACTCTACAATATGTGGGAGAAAGCATCTTTAACTATTTGAGATACTTTCAGTAAAGACTGATCTCACACTGCACTTCTTACGAATGTAGACAAATCTGACGACTTATTGATAACTGAACAGTAGGTTTTGCAAACACTTCTTGACATATCAAGAAGCAGGAGCATAAGAAATATCAGCAAGTATATATGTCAAAAAATCAGCTATTTATACTTACCTCATCAATATGTGATTGGAGGACAGCAATACGATTCCGTTTCTCCTCGAGCATAGCAGCATTATCACCGGACTGTTGCCGAAGAAAGATCAACTCGTCAAATTTCCCCACTGAGTTTCTTTTTATGTCCTCGGAAAATGAGGCAAGTGCAGGCTTTAGTACTGACTTATAATCTAATCCCAAAACCTCAGATGGTGTGGACCCATTGGCATTCAATTGATATTGAAATCCATTTCCAAGCTTCAACCTAAGATAAAGTACTGAATCAGCCTTGCCACAATAATCAAACAGGAACTATGGAGTTCCTTGAAAGAATAAAAAACTAAATCCTGAAACAAAAGTATTTACAGTCCTCCTTAAGCAAAAAAAAAAAAAAAAATTAGTTCTACATATAATGATGATAATCAAACAGCACCGAAACATTGATAAACTGAAAATTGCATCTGCAGCACTCCCTTTCAATGATTGGTCAAAATAAGGAAGTACGAAGTTTTCATTTCCTTGTTCAACTTTACAACGAGCAAGATGCCATGAACTAGTAAAAATCTGCTTTATATGAATTTCAAATAAACAAGAAACAATGAAAAAAGCCCTTTTGCCACAGGTTTACGTTGTAATTTATATTGATTCCAGATGCCATGGCATTAGTCCTCCCTCAATAAAAAATGGTATTCAGGAGATGGAAACTACGTCAAGAAGCAATAAGGCAGAACACAGAAGAAAATACGAATATGTACCCACATTGTGTACCCTGACAGATGAGCACTGTCGATTGTGTATAAGGAAAAGAAGCAGTAATTTGTTGATCATTTTGCCTAAAACTTATAATGTAAAATTTCCTCAATAAAAACTACAATTACATGGATTCAAGTATCAGCGTATACTAAAAGCACGCAATTGCGAGAGCATAAGATAAGATGCAGGACTACCTATCATACTATTACCTAAGAATCAAGGGTGTCAGTACTTTCATCTAATATAAACAGTTCCGTGTAACAAAGAGCAAAATATTCTAGATTACGGTAGTACAAGTAATGCAGTAGCTTCATAATGCGAAAACTTAGTAATTTAAAAGTCATTAACATCCCAAATTGTACGAGTATTCAACTTTTCCTAATACGACAAAACAAAATATGAATAAAAGACTACTATGCAATTCGCAAAACAACAACAGTAGCATCAAGTATATTTGTATAACAAACACATTAGGAAGCGGCTAGAAGAAATACCTTCTGATAGCTTGGTTGCACTCCATCACAAACCGCTCGAGCTCCTTAAACTTATGGCCGATCTCGGAATCAAGCTCCCATATCTTCTCCTCCCAGCCATTTCTTGCAGCCTCTGTATCCTCGATATCCCTCTCCACAGCCTGCAATTCCCGTTTCATTCTCTCGGCATCTCTCCAATTAATCCCTTGTTCCTCAATCTTCTTCTTGAGCTCCTCGTTTTCCTCACAAATCCTCTTCCTCTCCTCCACCTTAGCCTCCAACGCCCTTTCCTTCTCCTCCAATTTCTTCTGCACCTCCACCATATGACCATCCAACTGCTCAATCATCATATGGAACTTCGTAACGTCTTTTTCCAACACCGCCTTCTCCTGCTCCAAAGCCTCCTTTTGACTCGGGCCCGACTTTAAACCCTCCAATTTTACCTCGAGTTCTTTCGCGTTTTCCTCCATAGACGTCACGCTCTCCTCCACTTTATCCCTCCATTCCCTCATCTCACTAATACACCCTTCGTCCAAATCATCCATGGCCTCGTCGTCTCCCCTAATGTACAGCAAATAACTGTTCACCGTGTACATAAACACTCTGTCACCTTCAAAACCAGGGGAAGTTTTCATCATGAAGTCTTTATATTTAATTATCTGAACAAGCCAGTGGATAACGGCGAGCAGATTAGGCCAGGAATGCGGCGTGCCCGGGGCGCGGAGGGCCGATTTGTTCAATTTCAAGGGGCATTTTAGGAATTTCAGCGCGTGGCTGAGATCTTCATCTATTTTCTGCGAAGTGAATCCAAGGCGGTGGAGTAGAAGCTTTATGGTTTCGGTGATGTCTTTAGCGGAAGGCAGAGGGTGCTTGAGCGAAAAGGGAGCGGATTCAGAGGCGAGGTAGGAATTGATTGTGCGGAGGGCGGATACTTGGTAGGAACGGTCGGTGATGTTGGGGAGGGCGGTGGAAGCGCGGCCGACGGAGGCGGTGGAGGGGCGGCTGCTGCAGAAGCTGGCGTCCGATTCGCGGCCGGGGACTGGGGTGGATAGGTACTGCCATGGATCGGCGGTGTTGGTGGGAGTGGGTGGTGGTGGTCGGCGGTCTGGGGCTAGGGATTCCTTTCCACGGCGGCGGCCGGCGTCTCTCATCTTCCCGCCTATAGTAGGACGACGTTTGGGGTTTTGATTTTTGAATCAGCCGATGATTTTAGGGAAAGTGATAAATTGAAAACGTAATTTGTTTTTTGGTTTTTTTAGAAAATAGCATTTGAGCCCCTGTGGTTACACGCGTTTCCAGATGGCCCCCTTGTACTCTTAATATCACCACATAACCCCTTGTAGTTTATAGACTTCCGTTAGTCTTTTTCCGTCAAAATTAAATGTGCAAGTTACACGTCGAAATACTATATTTCGCAGGTGCCCCTTTGTGTTTACATTTTCCACACGATTTATAGTCTTTACATATAAAATAAGGGCAACTGGCAAATAGGCCAATGACAAGGGCACTTAAATTAAAAGAGGGACATCCAATTTTTTTGTCTTTTAAATAAATTCAGCTCATTCAAACTTATTTACAAATAAGGAAAATCCTTTTATATATACCAAAATTACCCAAATACATTGAAACTCAATTCAACTCCAGTTCATGATTTACACCCCAATTTAGCCCAATTTCATCAATTAATCAATTTTAACCATAATTTCAATTTTCATCCCAATTTTGACCCGCCACCACCGGAGACTGTCGGTCAGCCGTCGTTTACCGCCGGTCTTCGGCGTTGATTTTTTTTTTTCTTCTTTTTTTTGAAAACTTTTTTTTTCTTATTATTTTCCGGTCGGTCAACCATCATTGACCGCCGCTCTACGGCGTTGAATTTTTTTTTTTGAAATTTTGTATTTTCTTAAAAAAAATATTTTAATTAATATTACTGTCTTGCCTGCTAAATTACTGTCTCCAGCAGTTATTTAACTGTTAATTGACCTTTTTTTTTCTTCAAAAATATTTTAATTAATATTACTGTTTTGGCTGTTAAATTACTGTCTCCAATAGTTATTTAACAGTCGGGACAGTAACTTAACTATTAATTGACCTTATTTTTTAAATAGTTTAATTAATATTACTGTATTCGTTGTTAAATTACCATCTCCAGCAGTTATTTAACTGTCGGAGAGTAATTAAACTGTTAATTGGATTTTTTTTTCTTCAAAAAAATATTTTTAATTAATATTACTTTCTTTGCTGTTAAATTACTGTCTCCTATTATTTAACTGGCGGAGACAGTAATTTAACTGTTAATTGATTTTTTTGTTTTTATTTTGAATTTTTTTCCTTAAAAAAATTATTTATTTTAATTAATATTACTGTCGTGGCTGCTAAATTATTGCTTCCAACAGTAATTTAACTGTCCCAAACAGTAATATTACTGTCTGAGAAAGTACTTTAGTAGCAAGGACAGTAATATTAATTAAAATATTTTTTCTAAGAAAAGGAAAATTCGAAAAAAAAAAAATTAACGTCGGAATCTGGCCGCATCCTTAATACCTCTGGGACAAATCGAACTGAAATTACAAAACCTTCAAGTAATTCTACTTCCCAGCCATAGTCATGTAACAAATGAATTGAGCAATCCTTCATTGTACCATTTTCAGCCTTCGTTTACATAAACTCATTTTCCTCATAAAGCTGATCAAACAGTACATTTGACACTTTAATCAAAGGGGATTCCTCCTTGCTATGAAACATGAATTTATCATGCTCCACTTCATTTATCGTCAACGTATTCTCTTTCTCCAATACATTTTCAAATGATTCAGCAATTGTACTTGACCCTTGAACTTCAAACCCAAACTTTTCCATAGACAGTTCCGTTGTGAAATTTTTAGTTTCAGTTCATATTGACCCTTTCTCTGACATTTCCTCAAACACAATCAACTCATCAATTTTATTCACAATATTTTCAGTATCATTTCCCACATACTTTCTACTAGGCATTTCATCAAACACCACCAACTTACTCATTACAAGACTATCTCCTTCACTAGATATATCAGCAGTGGTATCAACTCCCAAGTGTTTACGAGGAATCTCAACTACATAATCCATTGATAAGCTAAAATCATTGTTATTTTTATTTTTTATCGCCAAGAAGAATTAGGGCATTTTCCTGCAACTTAGTCAAGCTAACCACCTCAATCATAGTCTTAGGTTTGAATATGCTAATTTGAAGAGAAATCTCAGACTTCAATCCACCCAAAAAATAACTCACAGCATAAGTTTCAGGTAAATCTACATTCCTCAATAACAATTCAAATTTGTCGGCATAATCTGTAACATTTCCTATTTGTTTCAAAGACGCCGATTCATACATAGGATCTTCATAAAGTAGGGACCCAAACCTGTCATGTAAAGCTCGTATGCATTCCTCCCAATTAAGCGGCCCCACCTTGCTTTCATAAAACTCCAATGCCATTCCAAGGCATTTCCATCTAAATGCATCGTCGCTACTTCCACTCTCCCTTCTGAAGGAGTATCTTCGATTTCAAAAATTTGTTCACATTTGAACACCCAACATCGTAGATTCAGCCCGTTGAATTTAGGAAATTCTACCGAAGAACATTTTTTTGGAAGTTGATACTCATGCCCCCATTCTGACTCTCGTAGAGTCTCGCGAATTTCTTGCTCGGCCGCCCTTGAAGTTTCGACATGGAGATCTGTCGAAGTTTGCAACTTATTCATCCTTAACGCCAACACCGCAAGCAATTCTTCTGTAATTTTTTTGTTCCCGCCACCAACCGATTGTGTATTCTCCCTTCCTTGACCCATCTGTTTGAGCATCTCATCGTATGGATCTTTCGCCATTTTTTTTTATTATTTTTTTTTGTTTTTTTTTAATATAAAGATCTAGAGCCGCCGAGGATCGACGGATCTGATACCAATTGAAACGACTTTTTTTAATGAAAGATAAATTGGATCGGGTCAGGGGCGATTGGGATTGAAACGTGTTATATTAACAGGTTGAAGACTCGAGATTCTGCGAAATATATCTGCTGGAATGTCACGGCGTCATTGTTTGAAAAAATGCGATAATTGGAAATAAAAATTTAAATGTTGAAAAAACTTCATTATATAAAAATTGAGTTCGAATTCAGAAATCTAATTTTTTTTCTGGTTGCCTGATCCCCTTCAACTCTTTTATTGGTGATGGTGAGACTCCTTTATTGATGACATCGAAAAGTACATATCAACACTCAGTTTATTGACATCACATAAGGTGCATAACTTTAACACAAGACAACGGAGAAAGACATTCATTATAGCATTACTTTAACACTTGGTAGTGCATGTACCAAGCTCGATTTCGACCTTGTTTCACTCCGAGTCTCTCTTCACTGTATTCATCAAAATAGGGATGTTTTAGATCTATCCATTGGCTTTCAATAGCATTTCAAACCAGTGTAATCGGACATATACTGAGAGAGTTATAGCCCAAATGCATGGAATTTTGTTTCTTCAACAAGTTCTCTCTTTCTTTATTTCCAATCCGGCGCCATTGGCTCTTCACGCAAGTCATTTGGTCTGATTTGTCATTCCAAATACAAAAAACTCCATTAAACTTATGTGCTTTGTTTTTTTCCGGTTCTTCATCATGGAGTTTGTGAGGATCGTATCAAAAACTGTCACAACTCCCGTATTTAGGACCAATACTTAGTACATTTTATTCGAGCCAAGAAGTTTTGAAGAATCCAAAATGTCAAGTCCAACACTTAGCTAAAAAAATGATTAAAGTACAACAGTATGAGATTTGTACAAATTTTATCAATATTTTAAAGACTTACTAGAAGCATCTGCGATGTAAATATTATGTAAAAGGTCTTTGAAATCATGGAAAACAATTCATACAATCTTATTGTCAAATAATCAAATTTATCAACACCGTCAATTGGGTGGTGACATAGTATAAATAGAAGTAGATACTTCATTACCAAACCATCAAGCAATCAAGTATCTTCAAATCAATCACCCCTCTAATTGTTAGAACGGAAACTACAACTATTCCCAGGTTCGTCAACGTGATTTCTTCTGTCGAATCCGTCGGCGACGAATCCGTCGTCGGCGTCGAAAGTAAACATCGTCTGAAACAGGTTCCATTGCCTGAATCGGCGGCCTGTTCTCATTGGCTTCTCTCAAACGTTCGCTTGCTTCCTTGCACTTCTTCTGCCCCTGATAATTTCTCCACCAATTCTTGCCTATATATCTCCCATACCATAGTAGCTAATAGTGACATTTTGGAAATTGATCAAAGAAAAAGAAGAATAACCGCTTGAAATATGCAAATTATTAAAAATGAACGAGTGCGAGTGCAAGTTGAGAGAGAACAGCAGAATATGTAGAGAAAAAAACGTAGAGAGAGAACTGGGCGGGAAAGTGCTAGTCTACGTGGACTTCTGCTTCATGAAACAATATTTTTACCATAAATCAAAATTAGCAGAGATGAAAAAAAAAAAAAAAGAGAAAAGCAAAACAAAACAAAAGCTAAAGTGCAGCATAGGATGTGCCATGCATGATATCAATCACAATAGTACCGAAAGGTGCTGCAACCAATAAAAGCTCTAATCAAATTCAAATTTTAAATAAATTTATTGTGTTGACCCAACTCAATGGGCCTATAATTTATTTATTTATTAGGTCACATGCCGAAGTTTGAAGCCAAAGGCCCGCCAATCACCTTTAGATAAGATTTGTGTCTGACAATCTCAATTAACCAACTCTAGCCCGATCAATGAGGTATAAATAAATGTTCTAATTCGTTTGTTAATGGACGTTCTATTATTCAAGCAATTTAATTGTCCGTATTCTCTGAACTATCTCTACTATCCGCACATCTGACTTGAGAGTCGGAGGGGTTTCCACCGGATCAACTCCCGGCTTAGTTTACGTGTTCTCTGATCGCAGGTATCTCAATGTCATCAAACTCGTGAGCAGTGATCCACTTAGCTCTTCTAGCTCATTCTACTTCAATTACATCAGATGATCTAACTCTAGCATTATCATAATGGCGCAGTGTATAGAAAGCTAATGGTAATACTAATAATAATATTAGTACTAATACTAGTACTTATTCCAATACTAATACTAATACTAATGCTAATATTAATACTAATACTTATTCCAATACTAATACTAATACTAATGCTAATATTGATACTAATATTAATAGTAACCATAATCCCAATTCTAATTTTAATCCTAAATATTTTGAAACAAGATGACCGTAAGATGTGTCTCTTGACTTGTAATTATAAAATTGTGGTGCATCAGAAACTGCATTGTCGCACAAAACGAGTACAAACTAGAGAACATTCCACATAATTCAGATAATTATGTTAAATTTGACACTAAAAGAGTGAACATGTAAGCAAATTCACAGTTGATGAGTGATTGTAACTACCCAAACATAAAAAAAAAAAAAAAAAAAAAAAAAAAAAAAAATAAAAAATAAAAAAATTGCAGAGTTGGGCTCTCAGCAAAAGCCCATAAGGCGAGAACACAGTGTCTCCATCACCATTTTGCGTATAAAAACCCATCTGCAAATATAACTATTAATCCCTCCTCACTGTAAAAAAAAAAAAAAAAAAATCTCCTTTCTTCCCTCCATTTCTCATTCTGCAAACCCTCCCCCAAATCCCACACGCACACCATTAAACCCACACATAAAGAAACGATTTTTACCCGAACTGAAAAGAAAAAACAGCAGCCAAAAATCTCTCAATCGGAATTTTTGAAATGGGGAAAGACGACGAGGAGATGAGGGGAGAGATAGAGGAGCGGCTGGTGAACGAGGAGTACAAGATTTGGAAGAAGAACACACCCTTCTTGTACGATCTGGTCATCACCCACGCGCTCGAGTGGCCGTCGCTCACCGTCGAGTGGCTCCCCGACCGGGAGGAGCCGTCCGGCAAGGATTACTCCGTCCAGAAGATGATCCTCGGGACCCAAACCTCCGAGAACGAGCCCAATTACTTAATGCTGGCTCAGGCTCAGTTCCCACTCGAAGATGCCGAGAACGACGCCCGCCTTTACGACGACGAGCGCTCCGAATTCGGTGGGTTCGGATGCGCCAACGGGAAGGTAACTGGTTCCTTTGTTCGTTTTAATTTTTGATTTTTTGTCTATTTTGTTACTGAGGTCAGCTGAATTGGATTTATGTTTGGGGTTTTCGTGCATCGGAAATCGGGTTGATTGGTTTCTTTAAAAAGTCCAATTTAAGAAAGTATGATGGAATTTGCTATTGTATGTATGTAATGTGGCCTTGTTTTTAGATACATTCTTCGAATTTTCGAAGTGAAGTATGAAAATATAAGTCGAAAAGATTCGAACTTGGTCATAATTGTGGCGTTGTTCATGGTGCGCCGGAATGTTCTTGTGCAAAACAGTGAAAAGACGAGCATAAAATTTGAAAAAAACACATAGGCAAATGCAAATCTTGAATATTTATTGTATCGTAATACCAATATTAGTGGTTTATTTTAGAAAAAATGTAATCTTTTAGCATTTTAATTAAACTTATTGGGTGGCTCCTAGTAGAACCCCGTCCAATGCTCAAGTCAATAAAAGTCGAGGGATTTTAGAGATACGAGAGACTGGAGCATTAATGAGATTGAATTCCATTAAGACGTACTTTGAAATTAAGCTTCGCCAAGTATTGTTCACTCTTTGCGTAAATGCAGCTTTGGGTTTTTAAAATGATTCGAAATTGGGTTTGGCACGTAATTTTTAACTACAACTAATGGTGGCTTTTGGGACTTTTTTTTAACTCGTGGCAATAATTATATAGTGGTGATGAATGCCGAAGCAGGACGTAATAAATTCATTATTTGCTTCAATTTTTGGGAGTCAATATATAATTTCTGCGACTTCATTATTTCCCATTTACCTTGCAGGTGCAGATTATCCAGCAAATTAATCACGATGGGGAGGTCAACCGAGCTCGTTATATGCCCCAAAACCCGTTCATCATTGCAACCAAAACAGTTAGCGCAGAAGTTTATGTTTTCGATTACAGTAAACATCCCTCTAAACCTCCATTGGACGGTGCGTGCAACCCCGATTTGAGGCTGAGGGGCCACAATACCGAAGGGTATGGCCTGTCGTGGAGCAATTTCAAACAGGGTCATTTATTGAGTGGCTCGGACGACGCCCAGATATGTTTATGGGACATAAATACGACTCCGAAGAATAAGTCTATCGATGCAATGCAGATTTTCAAGGTACATTTTTGACGAAAATGCTGTTTGTGAGTGATATGTTTTGAATCGTAAATCGGAAAACTAATGTATTATTTGAGAGCAGATTCACGAAGGTGTGGTTGAAGATGTGGCGTGGCATCTTAGGCACGAACACTTGTTCGGTTCGTGTGGAGATGATCAGTATCTGCATGTATGGGATCTTCGTTCTCCAACGGTGAACAAGCCTATACAATCTGTCGTTGCTCATCAAAGCGAGGTTGGTGCCATGATTTGATTCGGTTGAATCGGTGGAATAAATTAGAATTTATCGACATTGAAATATCAGTCTTTAAATGCTCACATAAAGTAGTATCACATTTTGTTTTTACTTTTTTTTTTCTCCATAAAGCGAAGAGATTTTGTATGTTTTTGAGTAATTTGCTGTCCCTTTTAGACCATTTAGAAGGAGAATACCGATTTATTTTTTCGGGTTTAAATTGAGATTCTTGATGTAGTTTTAGGTTAATTAATATATTCGAGAAGTGTCAAATTATTTTGTCGGATTTTCCTTCAACCAATTTATTTAGATATACCTTTCGGTTGTAGTTGTACTTCTTTCCATGCAAAGAAGAAGATGCAACAAGAAGAAAACGATACTTTTTCTTCGTAAAGATTGAACCTTTTGCTTCAGACTCTTTGGTACTTGAGCATTTTGTTATTTCGATGAAATCTTTTGTAGGTAAACTGTTTAGCTTTCAATCCATTCAACGAGTGGGTTGTGGCAACTGGCTCTACCGACAAAACTGTTAAATTATTTGATATGCGAAAGATTACTACTGCCCTCCACACCTTCGATTGCCACAAGTAAGGAATTTTCAGCCCTTTTTTTTTTTGCGGAATAATTGTATACCCTCGTTTATCTCTGCTAACTTAATTCTGCTTTTAACTGCAAAACAAGGGAGGAGGTTTTCCAGGTTGGATGGAATCCGAAAAACGAAACTATCTTAGCTTCTTGTTGTCTTAGTAGGAGACTAATGGTCTGGGATCTTAGCAGGTAATTTTCCGACCTTTCGTGAATCGCAAATTATTATCCGGTGTTTTTTTTTTTAAATTTGTTATTCTGCATCGCGATTGTATCAATATATATCGTGTTGAGCTTGTGTTTTATATTTCAATCTATTTTGCCGATTTCTTGTTGCACGCATATTTTTTTGGTTGCAAATGGATTTGGTAAAAAAAATTAAATTATCTGTCATTGTTTCGGCGTTGTTTTTTGTTTTATCTCTTGGGTTTGAATATCGATCATATTTCGATCAACTAAAACGATCAACAACCGATTTGTTTTTTTATTTTTTTTAAATAATAGGATCGATGAAGAACAAAGCCCGGAAGATGCCGAGGACGGCCCACCGGAGTTGCTATTCATACACGGCGGCCACACGAGCAAAATCTCCGATTTTTCATGGAACCCTTGTGAAGATTGGACTGTTGCTAGTGTTGCCGAAGATAATATTCTTCAAATTTGGCAGATGGCTGAAAATATTTATCACGACGAAGACGATTTACCGGGAGACGACTCTACTAAAGGTGCCTAGTTCTTTTTTTTTTTCTTTTTTCTTTTTTATTCTCCAATCGAAAAAAAATTAGTATGATGATTTTAGATAAAGAACTGCATTTGTGTAACTTATTGTTATGTACTTAGATTAATCTGGTTATTTTGTTACATTTGTATCATTATGTATTCGAGTTTTTGATTTAACGAGTCTGACGTTGAACTCGGTTTGTTGTTGAAACTCGTTGATTTGCTGTTAAAACCATAACAGGCTGTTTTTTTGGTCTAGGCTCGTTTGGTTGGTAAGATAAATTGTGATTAATTAAATAGTTGAGTTTAATGGGTTATTATAAGATTGCAGAATCTTATTTTGGAAACCAAACGAAGCTTTAATGGTTTCGAATTTTGTCTAGGGCTTTGTGTTTTGAAAAACTCGCAATCGACTTAGAACTGAACCCTCGTGTAATGTTATTTATATGTATTTTTTTATCAAAAAAAAAAAAAAAGTAATGTTATTTATGATATTCGATTAATTAATTAATTTAAATTAATGGAAATTTGAAATTTAATCTTGTTTACCTAAGATGGTACTCAACGGCTCATGTGATGTGTTTGGTTTATTGAGGGTAGACTTAGCTGTCACATAAGATAGAGAAGAATTGTGTATATAATTTGTTCAAATTTTATTGCATATGGTGCTTATATTATAAATATTGTCACGAAGTAAAATTGTTGTATATTAATTATTGGGGTAAATTAATTACAACCGCCCTCCCTCAAATGAGGCCTATTTACGAAAACCCCCCTCATTTTCCCTAACCGCATCTATCCTCTGCAATTTTGGTTCGGTTACGGTTTCGATTTCGAATTCGGTTCACTTCCAGGGTTTTGGTTTCGGTTTTGATTTCGTTTTTGGGTTTTTGGTTCGGATTTCGGGTTTTCACTTAACCCTTTTGTAGGAGAATGAATGCAAGAATTTTACAAACTGTAGGGGATTGAATGTAATCTCTTAAAAAAAAGGTCTTTTTTGTAATTAAACTTTACTTCAAGGTGGTTGTAATTTAATCTAATTATTGTCACGTTTAGTACAATGAACCCCAAACAAACCTTTGCTTTGTTGGGCAGCATCTCATCTTGTCACAAGTCGTTGATACTAATGGAAGAGTAATTTAATGTAGTTTATATAAATACAACTGTAGGTGAAAATCGGACGGTGTTGGATTCGTGATTAATATTTTTTAATAGAAAAAAAAAACAAAAAAACTCCTGAAGTAAAATTTAATTTCAATCCCGTTCCATGTAAATTCTGAAATTAAATCAGGATTTCAGAGATTGGAAATTAAAATCTTATATTCCAATTCAAATGGAAAAAAAAAGTGGGAATTCTCTTGAATTGTCGCTCGATTTTAAAACAATAAATTATATTACAACTTAATCATGTCTGTGAATAAAATATTTTAGGCAGGCTAAATGAAAATGAAGATACATATATATGTTATTATTAATTGAAGATTATGTATTAATTAATATATAATAATAAAACAATAAATGTACGTGACAATTAAAGTTTGGATGTCGCCATTCCTCCCCATGTTGAAATCCAAGGCACCGGGATAAGTGAAAGAAGCTCACGTCATAACTCCATCCCCACTCTCCAACTACCGCGCGTGTTCTATAACCACCCAACCCACCCCCCACCTTATTCTCTCCGTTCATTAGCCCCACTCGCGAGATACCCGTGTTAACTTCACGTCAACACATACCCATGGGTCAATGTGGGCCCATGTACCGCCCCAAAAGTGACATTATCTTTTTTTTTTTTTTTTTTTTTTTTTGTTTTTAAATAAAAAATTGGTCATATTTTTACATTTCGAAGTGGCGGTTGGATCCTATATTTGTGCAATTAAAGCGTGAACTTAAGAAGAAGAATTTATTTTTAAACAGACGGTTTACAATGTCGAAGAAAGCTCAAATTATCGAACATGCATTTAAAACCGTCAACTTTTTATTTTCTATTAATTTTTCAAAAAAAACTACAATAATTGTTCGTTAAAAAAAAAAAAATCGGAACCGACTGTTTATGAACTGATTAGGAACCACCGTCATTTTCTTAGACCGGTTGCGATTCAATAAAATAAGGTTTGGGAACCGGCAATTCAAACTATAAATAAGCAGTTCTGAAACGAACTCGTATACCGTTAGGTGCGTGTATTGTAAGGTCATATATAATAGTTAAGAAAAAAATAAATTTAAAAGAAAAAGCCCAATACAATATTTATATCCTTCTTCATTTTCGGACGCGTGTCACGAACTTCCCCTCTTACGCGCGTGAGGATAACTAATTCCCCCGCTCCCGGTACCAGTAAGAGAGTAGCGTACAAGTGAGTCGAGGAATCCCCGTAAAAATAGTTGCAGCTTTCTCTCTCCTCCATCCCACTTTTATAACCGAATTTATGTTAATGCTCCGTTTGTTTCAACCAAAATTATTACATATTTTTTCTTATTAAAAACAATTATGACATATTTCCTATAAATGAATTAAAATGCAAAAATCTATATAAACAAATGTAAAGTAGAAAAAGAGTAATTAAGCCATTATTAAAATTTGAAAGTGACGATAATATGTAATAATAATTTTATATTCTCCAAAACCACAATTAATTTGTAAAACAAAGAATTGGGGAAATTACAGTTTTCATCCGTCAAGTTTGCACCGATTACACATTTGGCCCCCATGTTCACAAAAAACACATTTGGTCCATCATGTTCCAATAATTTAACATCTTTGGTCCTTTCCGGCAATTTACAGTTTGTCCGTTAGTTAAAGCAGTGATGAGCACACACTTTATTCCGTTAGTTTTGACGAGAAATTGACGGAAATGACTAAAAGTGTTAGAATTTTTACAACATAAGGGATCAAACATGTTTTTTGTGAACCCGTGAGACCAAATGTGTAATCAACTTGAGGGACAAAAATATATTTTTTATACTTATTTTTATAAATTGAATTTTTTTAATTGGGCAAATTACAGCCACCCTAAGGTAAGATTAAGATAAGAATTTTTTTATTTTTGTCTAAGTAATTACAACCACTCCATTAACTACGTATATTGTCTTAAAACCCCCCTCCTTCAATAGGTAAATTTGACATCATAAGAGAGGACGTATAAGAAAATACATAATTGGGGAGATAGTTGTAATTGTCCAAACAACAGGGGTCTTTTTATTAGAAACTACTAATATTGTGATCCAATTAGCCAAACAGAGCCTTAGAGAAAGCACTTTTAATGCTCCGCCCCTAGTTTAATTTCCAATTTGCAACTCACATTTCTCAGCAAATAATAATATTGGAAGATTATAGAAATGCCCGCGCTCTGATTTTCCCCTTCGATCTGTTCATCTACCCATTTTCTATCTTCTCTCAATTTTATCCTTTTTTTTTTTAATTAAAAAAAAAAAAAAAGCTGATAACTTTCTCTCTCTAGATTCCTGTCCGAAATTTCTCATCCACCAAATATCACAACCCAGCAAAATATTCTCCGGTATGTACAGAGATTTACTCATATTTTATCAATTCACTGGAATAATTGATTAAATTAAACAATCCCAGATGATTTTTTTTTTCTAATTTTTATGATTAAAGGTGACAAACCCCATGTGCTTATGTGCTCATTTGATTAACTGATTAATATATTTTTTTTTAATCTTCTTTTACCATTTGATGGGTATCAATTTTTTTTGTGCAATTGGGAAAATGATTAATTTAATTTTGATTATCTGTCGGGTTGCGTGATTCTTCGCTTGTGGCACGTTGTTTCGTGTTCTGGATGTCTTCTTAGCATGTTATCCGAATCTCTTTTTTGTAATAATAAAAGTGGGTTGTGGTGTATGTATCTATATGTGTATGTATACTTGCATCTGAATCTTGGATTGATTTATATATATTTTAATATTTTATCTTCTAAAGGTTGAATTTTGTTTTTTGCACGTATAAATACTATTTGGCGATGGATTTTGGTCTGCACAAATAATTCTTCAACTTCGAGATCCAGATTTTTGCTTTGTTCGAATTGCGAGGTGGGTTTTGTTCTTCCTTTGTTTTTATGTTGGGTTCTGAATAAGAAAATTGCGGAATTATTTGCCTTCGTTTTTTTCCATTCGTTGGGATATCGACTGACGATGATTTCGGGTATTACTTTCGGTTGATGATTGGGGGGATTACTTTGTTCTTTGAGAAATGTAATTCGTCTAAAGCGTAAGATCTGGTTAACTATCTTGTGTATTTTGTTCTTCTTCGGGAATTTTCTTTTAGTGAATGATCATTGTTGAATTTTTCGATAAAGCTTCCGTCTTTTCGATTATCCTTCTTCCCCTCGAAAACCCGTTAGTGGCAGTTGGTGGTAGTCGTTTGCTTCGTTTGCATAATTAAATTGCGAGACATTATTTGCGTAATTCTGAAGTTTGTTTGGGTGACCGAGCGTTGCAAAAGGATAATCGATTTATATTTAGTTAGAAATTATAGAGAAAAAATCGTCTCTTGATTTAGCATATCTTGTTAACGCATCTCTTCTGTAATTGGTTGTATAAATGTTTCATTTCCAACGTGTGATCTGCTTGGATATGAAGGGGAGAAAAAGAAAACATTTTCGTCCTTTCTTGATGATCGTTGTTCCGATAATTTCTTTTGGAGAGGGTGAGTGGTGGTGGGTGGGAAAGAGTAATATGATTTGGTCGATTTTGTTCGTCTGTCGTGACTTTCGATGGCGGAATCTTGCAGAGGCAAATGTAAATAACTGCAGTGATAGATGTGTTATGAGTATGTATAACGATGCTCGTTTATTCTGTTTAATCATTGAACCCTGGTAGGCTGACATGGTATATTCCCTGCTCTATAAACTTATGACCATGTTTTTAGTTTTAAATTTGGTTCGATAAACTTACGATTGTGTTCGTATGCATTATTTTTCGAGTAAAATTCGTTACCCATGTTAAATAGTTCCACATTTGGTTTTCCGATCTATCTAGGAAAAAAAATGGCAAAAGGCACAAGGGGTAGACGCGGAATTGCTTCTCGACAGTGCAGACCGACACCGTATCCGTTACCATCCCACAACGAAAAAGACGACGAAAACTGCTCCAAACTATTCAAGAAAGACTGGGTGGACGCTACGTGCTCGGTCTGCATGGAGTGCCCACACAAAGCAGTTCTTCTCCTCTGCTCCTCGTACGATAAAGGCTGCCGCCCCTACATGTGCGACACAAATTTCCGATACTCAAACTGCCTCGACCAGTACAAGAAGGCCTACACCAAAGTGATGTCGTCACAAATCCCCACAACAGTTCAAGCTCCACTCGCCAGCCAATCGTCAGCCATCACTCCATTTTCCGAGGCTGCTGAGCTGGCGTGCCCCCTCTGCAGGGGGCAGGTGAAGGGGTGGACGGTTGTGGAGCCCGCGAGAGAGGATCTCAACTGCAAGAAGCGGAACTGCATGCAAGACGGATGCTCGTTCGTCGGAACATTCAAAGAGCTTCGGAAACATGTCAAGGCGGAGCACCCTTCTGCGAAGCCACGCGAGGTGGACCCCACTTTAGAGCAGAAGTGGAGGAGGATGGAGCGAGAGAGGGAGAGAGAGGATGTGATGAGCACCATTAGATCGTCGACACCTGGCGCCGTGTTTTTCGGTGATTATGTGATAGAAGGGAACCATCACTACGAATTCGATTCGGATGATGAAGATGAGGAAGACGAGGAGGGGTTTGATGGAGATGGTGCCGCCTTGGAGAGAAGCAACGAGGGCGGCGGTGGCGGTGGTGGCGGTGGTGGTGTAGGAGGTGGGATTGATCGGAATTTGATGTCCGTTTTTCTCTTTCTACAAGCCTTTGGTAATAGAAGGGACGAGAGAGAATCTAACGGCACGTTAGATGCTTTTGATTTCTCCGATAACGACGATGATGATGGTAATGAGAATGACGGTAATAATGGTGCATCGTTGGTTGGGCGTTTACGTAGGGAAGGTAGGGTCCTTCTAGGAAGTTCCAGAAGGAGAAGGCATCGGGAGGCGGATGGAGGGCAGTCATAGGGGTTTGTGTTTAATAGGGTTCGGAATCGGAAACGTAAAAAATAAAATAAAAAACAAAATGATTGATTTATGTGTCATAGTCCACGGTGTAGGGAAGGGGTTTAGCTGTAATTTTTTTCTAACATATGCATGCACATTTTACTTTACTTCTCTCTCTGCTGCTGATGTCTTCATACTTGCTTGAGTATGGAGGGTGAATAATAACTGTCTGATGTAATTTTAATTTGTAATTTCTCATGATTACTTTCTTCCATTTGATGTTAATTATTTGACATTCTTGTGATTATTCACTTAAGAAAAATGTAATTTCTACATGTAGATATAATAATATTTCCTGTTTCTCTTTTCGATTTTATTGTTGTTTACGTTAATTTGAACACATTTTTTAATAAGCTATGAAATCCAGCTCGAGAGCGATAAGAGAACGATGACAAAATATGCATAAATAATCAGGTTACTTTAGTTCAATTTATGTTCAGCTCAATTAAAATTCCGTCTTGAACTCGACTCAATTGCTTATCAAATCAAGCTCAAATACCATTTAGCTCGATTCAAATTGGTTACCCCTATGTTTCTCTCCATGTATTAGTTCATCGTAATACGCAGGATATCAACATTTAAACAATAATGTAACTCTATAAACTCTGCAATCTACGGTATACTTGAGTGCAAAAATTCAAGAATTTCGTCGCTGAACTTTTGATTACTCATAATACCACTCATTCATCAAAAAGAAAATTCATCACATAATTACGCTGTACGTTTTTTCCTTTTGATAATCCCAGTGGGAACACCATAACAAACTGGTGAAGCTCCAATGAGAAAACCGAGAGTGCAGGCATCTCTAGCTTGCCCCATAAACGAACCAATCCTAGGCCTATGACTGCATTTTTTCGACTTATTAGGTAAAATACATTGATCACACTTCGATGAAGCGGCTGATCTTTCTCTCAGCCAAGCATTAAGCATTGCCTTTCCAAACCTGTCAATGTCTTTGTCAGTCACTTCCCACAGATTAGCCACTATAACGGGGGAGCCAGCTAATATGTAAGAAATCGGAGCCCCTTCTGGTAAATAGCATCCTTTAAGATAAAGAGACCCACTGCTGCACCCAAGAAGTAGAGTAGCAGCACAAGTGTCGAGCTTCTCAATTTGATGCCCAGGGATATATTGTGTACCTAAAAAAAAGGCCGTGATGAAATATCGAATGAGCTTTGTGTCGAATTTAGAAGTTGATGGATGAAATTATTTTTGAAGACGATAATTTTTATTTTGCCGGCATTTATTTACCACTTCCATGGCCACAATAGACGAAGAGGTCATGGTTTTTCAAGGCCAGGCTCAGTTCTTCAACTGTGGGCACAGTACCAATCTTTCCCTGTATATTGCGTACACGAAAAGATTATATTGCGTACACGAAAGGATATTTAATTTAGGTCTTATGCTTTGGATGTCAAAGCAAAGATTTACCTCAATGTTTTGATCTTTAAACCAGCTCTCGAATTCGAGCTGGGTTGTTCTGAGATCACCATCTGGATTCAATAAATAATATGAATCCAAGGGGTCTATCGATGGAAAAGCAGGGATGTTTGTCTCAAATTGTTCTTCATTTTGACAGCATCTGTCGAGTGTTGCGAAAATGCTACCAACAGAAGGCATTCGGTAAACCTCCTGATTACGCAATATTGGCAGATTCTCCCATGGAAGCATCTGCAAATACGTGTTAAAAAATTCAACTTCATAAATTATGCGGACAAGATCTGGAAGAAGCAGAGTTGATAAATGACCATATTGAAATATGAAGCATTCACAAGAAAAGAGGGGAAGTTATATCATTTATATTTAAAAAGGTAATATCTGCTCATTTATGAATTAGTAAACCGATGACATACCTGAACATCAAAATCCAAAACCAAAATGATTGGTTTCCTGGTAATGCCTTCATCCTCATCAAAATTATCGGACATTTCTAGCATTCTTTTGAACAATGTATGCATTTTACTTTCAAATTCACTAGATGATGCCTCAGACCCCTGACCAACATAGCATTTTTTGGTTACAACAAGCTGCAAAAGATGCTCCTCGTCTTCAAAAAGATTCTTTTCAATAGTGTCGAGATGGCTGCAATCTGGCCATTCGCCCAAAAGCAAATATTTCCAGGTACCCAGCCACAAGTCCTCCATATCCCTGATACACAAGCATTTTATTACGAAATTACTTTAATTTAGTGGTTATGTAGGGATAAACGATGACACAAGTGCGATAAGCTAGAAGGAATAAATTGTCTTATGAGAAATTAAAAAAACAAAATCCAATGCTCATTTTGTAACTTATCTTTGTACAAAAATGAATATGAAGTGGTTTGCACTAAAGCTAATTTTCTAGATAGTAAACTGATGATGAGTCTATTAACACAAAAAAAGGAATTCCTAGTGATCATTGCCATTGTGGTAAATGCAGAAAAGTTTCTGCAAGGTAGCATCCAGAGTTGGATGAGGCATATGTTTGGAACTTGAAACTTACTGCAAAAATTTGCCGAGGCATTGATCAAGTCTATTCCTCTGTCTCCACCATAATGACGTGTTTTTCTTAATATATTCCAAGAAATGCTCTGAAGATGAATAGTAATTCCATTCCAACACATGTCTAAAGACTGGGGCTATTTCATCGATCACAGTAGAGACCCAAGGGCACTTCCACTGCTTGTCAAAATCTTTCCAGTTGAAAACAACTGAGCTGGAACTAGCATCATCATCTGAAGCTTCTCGCAAAATAATGAAACAGATTAAACTCGATGCATGAACAGAGGTGGCTGTAAATTTCATAGAGAACACTTCATATTTTTCACCAACTTTTAAACTAGAATACCTTCTAAAGTTTCATAGACAGGTAGAAGTATGACATGCTGATTATCCGAGCTCAGATGGGATAACAGAATGAATGCCCGTACATTATGGGACCAATGCAAGAGTTCTCTAAACAAACTAGCATCTGAGCCTGAAACCAAGCTAATGCAGATGACTGGAATTGATGGAAGCCCCTGAAAAAATCTTAGGACAAATTCTTCCAGATCCTCATAAGATTCAGGTGCAGTTCTGGAACAAAGGAAAGGAGGTTAAAGAGGTAAACATGTATAACAGCATTCCAGGACACAGCATATTTCATTGTCAAAGACAAACCTGATTGAACCAGCTAAATCAAGAATGGTTGAAATTGAGTTTGAGAGAAAAGAATCCTGATAATCAGCCATGCATGGAAAGTTAATTAGCAAGGCATACGAAGCAATTTAAAGCATCTACACTTGAAAACAGGCTTTGGAAATTTGCTTCAAACTCAATTCATATTGTTCATGTCAAGCACGTTATATGACGGAAAACCTCAGCAGAATGGTGAGTCAAGGAAGTTGGACTTGAAGTAGTGAGATGACTTAGACTTGACGTGAGCCATACAGAAAGATGGAAAATATAGTCCCAATAATGAAGTTTAAATTTGGTGATGATGAATCAGTCATAGCAATCTCATAATATTGCTGCTTGTCTTATCTTTTTTTCATACAAATACTCTTGGAACTATTCCACTCGAACATTCATACCAGCAACCTTGTGGTTGAGCGGTACCACTCCCATTCTTGTGGTAGGTGGTTCTGAGTTCGACCCCACATGTGTATGTGTGTGCCTGTGTTTTAAGGCCATCTATAAGGACAAGTAAAAAAAAGGCCATTTGCACTTGTAGGTAGTTCGGTGGAGACTGTACCGAAGGCAGTTTCTACATCACAATAGCACAAAGTAAGCAGAATTTTCAACTCTGATCAAGACGACAAGCAGCATAACTGCATGACTAGCAAGTACAAATTTCATCTACGTTTGTCTGCTTCATTTCACACTAATGATACTTCAAAAAAAATATATGTACCAGAAAGACTACATCATAAGAAAGCACTGCATTTTGATAGTTGGCAAAGAAATCTTTCAGGACTAACTACCTCAGAATTCGTAGCACTTTGACTTTGCTTCTTCTGCACCATCCCAGATATAATTTGCTGGTTAAGATCAGTGCCAAGTGAAGCTTGATGGAAGAAGGACCCCCACTGGCTTTCAGAACCTTCCTCGTCCGGAGATAAAGAAAATTGCTTCAATGAGGTAGAAAGTACATATACACCTGCAAGCAACCTGCAGATCTGTTGAATCATCATAACAGGTCTGGTGTCAATTACCACCAATCAGATCACAAGTCCAGAGGAAGAAAATGAGAAATTAGACAACTAAATTTCATACACACATATATTAGCCACATTGGAACGCAAAAGCTGCCTTACCTATTCGCGCCAATATTAAATCACTCTATCTACGGAAATAACCAACATACAACACAAGTTGGTTGCCTCATTAAGTGAGAAACTCTGTTTCGGCCATTTCGTTTCAACAGCCGGGAACACAGAAAATTTTGAGGCACATAGACCGTAATGGGCATCGCAGTTCTTTAAAACCGTAACAGTAAATGAAAAGGAGAAGTGCATGTACTTACTTTTTGAAAAAGTAAAGGGACTTCTCGACCAAGTATAAAGGACATCTTCAACAAGGAAACAATCTTTACTGTCCCAATGCACGAAAGCTCACAGCAAATATTCCTGCTTGACATGGAAATATCAAACAGTCAAATGAAAGGCATGTACTGCCAAATTTGCCCTCTTGAAAAAAAATCATCTTCCAACCAGTGAAGCTAAAATAGGAAACAAATGATATGTTCCTACAATTATGCCACATTGGTAAAATAACAACCAAAACGAGTCATAAAGTGGATGTTCTAGAAAAAGAAGTGGATGTTCGCTTTGCATACCCATAAAAATAAGATATGAGTATAATTGCATAAGATAGGACGGCAATTAGTAAATACCCGGTACCCTGGTGAGGATAACTTTTCAAAGTGAACCAGCAAATATAGTAAAGCAGTGATGCACGTTGAACTGCCAATGCATCTCCACGGAAGTGCTTCCCCATTGACTCAATTAAGAAAATAAGGGAATCTGACGAGCAGTTCGAACAAGATGATTTTTTGCTGAGGACTGATAGACTTTCCAATAGAATTTCATGTGCTTCATGAACATTTCCGCAAATGCCACAAAATTTCCCTGCACACGTAGTGTCGAGAAATTGAGGAAAACTAAATGGCAAGATTTACATGCAGCGAATGTTCAATCAAGCCATCACAGATAAAAACTTAAACAGTGGGCGTCATGCATTTCAAGCAAACACGTGATACTGTAATATAGTGTATCTGCTTATTAAAGCATGTAAAAGAAATGCATAGATAAAACAGCAAACAACTCAAGTAAAACAGCATGTTATTCAATAAACTAGAGCACGTCTTCTGAATATGAATGGCACCAGTTACAGCACAAATCCTTTCGCATCAGACAGTTATTTCACAAGCTAATCGAGCAGAAAACCAAGGCAGCAACATTGCAGCCATTCTTACCCTAAGTGTGTGTATGTGCGTGAAGGATAGCTCTACTGGTACATAGTATTAGCTATATAATATATTACTTCTGTCAGTTGAGTAAATATTATTGGCGATTTGTACATATTGCCGTTAATGCGTGTGCAATTTCTAAAATAAAGGAAAATTTCTGTAAAGCAAGTTCCGAATCTAACAAGTTTATGACATCTTTTCATGAGTACCTCCCTATTTATGTTGCAGTATACCGACAAAACAGAGGATAAGCTGATTTCTAAAATGGCTTTTCTGCATGGTAACTTTTACGAGATATTTACTCCAGTAGTTGTTATTATTAAGTCATGTTAACTTCTTTCAACGGAACACTGGTGTTTGCCTAACATTTGTGGTCAAAATATTTGCAAGTTCAGATTAAAGACTTTCTAGGGATTCAGACTATACCAATGCTAACGAGCAGTCTTAAGCAAAGGCTTCTGTAAACAAGCTCCCAGTTCATGTGTATGAAGTTATTCAGAGTGCTGCAGTCAACAGCTTCAGTGTAGAGACAGTGCCAACATTTCATTTTGTTGCAAAGAGATGAGATGCCATTTCGAAAATCAGCAGCAGAACATTCAGATTCAGAACTGGCCACATTATGTTCGGACCCAACAGCAGCAGTAGACAAATGATCGGTGGCTGAACCAGCAGTTGGGGCATTATGCCTGTCAGCTGATACAATCTCTTCGGTTTCCACTAAAGAGCGAAGGGTGGACCGAGTTATCCTACGATTACGATTACATACCACCTCTTGTGTCTGTGAAGCAGGTTTTACTTCCTTCTTTGTCCTTCTAGATCGACGCGGTTCAATTTTAGTTTCAGTTTTAGCATTTGAAAGCGTATCATTTGCCTTGGGAGGATTGATTACACAGCTAGAAAGTGAACTTTCTCTGGATATGACCTGCTCAAGCCTAGCTTCTTCCGAAGTAGAATTGGAAGTCCTCCAGTTGAAAACATTTAGCTTGTCTAAGGCTAATTTATAAAAGCTTTTGGCATCAACCAACATCTTCATTGAAGGCGACTCTCCAGTACTGGAAAAACGGCTCAAGAATAAGTCTCCAATTTGTTGATTAATGGAACTCTCCAACATACATAAGCATCTTTTGCAGGAAACTACGTCAGCGTTGCTGGCTAATGTTTTCTTAGCACTGGACAATTCTTTTTCAGCAGCATTCCAAAGCTTTTGCTTGCGGTATAGTTTTCCTGACCAGATTCAGATAAAAGGCATGGAGTAAGATGCCTTTCCAACCATGTCGATTTTGGTTATACATGTGAGAAAAGGAAAAGTGACATGATAAACGACATACCCAACATTACAGAAAAAGAAACTTCAAAATGTGGCAAGCCCTGAATCCGGGAGATATTTCTACCCCACCGTAAAAGCATTTCAGCATCAAGAACATTTCCAAGAATCTCATGAATCATTCCAACCTGGACAAGCGGTTGATATACAATTTAGATTAATCATATAAACAGCAATTTTGAAAAAAAACTTAAAATACCAATTTTGTATTGATACCTGCAACAAGCTTTCAAGGTAACAACTAAGCACATTCCAAGGAGTAAGGGTGCAGCCTTCATAATCGCAAGAACCTTTTGCCCCCAAAGAATCAGCAACTTTGAAGGTCTGGATGCCATAGTAACTCTTTTCAATGATCCGCCCATCCTCGTTAAATGTCTCGGTCATTTTCTCCACTGAGTATTCGAAATTTTGTTTTAAGAGTTTACTACGTAAGCTATGGGCCTCTTTTGCATATGCAAGAGCCTGCGAAAATGTTGGACAAATTATAAAGAAAATAATTTTGCTGAATGATTAGTTCAGTGGAACCAACTTATTCATTACAGAGCAAGATCATATATAAGATATAGAATTCAAATGATCTACAGTATGTCATTTTTTATTATCCCATTTGATTCACAGTTATGGAAGTTGCATTATAAGAGTTTGTAATAAACGAAGTTGTTCGTCATAGCATTATCAAGACACATTTGTAGAACTTTGTGGTTTGTACGACAAATTTAGTTTTTACTCAAGCAGAGAATATAATTATTAGCACCACCAGATAAACAAAAATGAAGTAGAAGTAAAAATGAAAGCAACTAGACAAGTGGATAAACCACATGAAGCAAGAAAACGATCTTCCTTAGCAAAATTAGCCTTGTTATACAAGTATTTAACAGTAAAATCTGTATTATCCTCACTTCCCATTTTTTTTAGAAGCTAAAATATTTCCAAAATAATCAGTTCAGCATAGTTAGTTTTCTAGTCCCTTCTCGTAGCTATTCTTAATCAAAAAGCTGCATTAATCTCAATCTTAAGATATCGCCACATACATATTGGTCAAAGACCTAGTTAGTGATACTAAATGGTATAACTTTCATTTAATGAAAATTGAACAAATATTGTGAAAGCAACACCTCCATTGAAGTTACCTCAATCATGCGTCCACTTGAAACCAATCTTGCAGATGAGTCATAGTAGAGATTTGACAAAAGAAAGAATGAACTGGATGGTGGAACCTATGATAGGAAATTAGATTGGATAACAGGTGAGATAATTTTCTGAATTTACACGCAGAATTGAGCAAGTAGTTAATAACATGAGGGGCTTACAATGGAAATAAGACAAGAAGCTGCTTGCTTGATCTCAGTATTGATGTGATGGAACCCAACTGTTAGGGGCTTCAGTTCCTCCATACATGTTCTCCAAAATTTAGTAGAGTTACTAAATTGACTCTGATGCTTAGCAAAAGTATCAATAAACATATGGTTTACGGGGGATGCACAGAGACCATGACTAAGCCTTCTGTTCTTCCATAGCTCAGATATAGTCTTTGCCAAAGGAGAATTCTTCTCATTAAATAACTTAATCACAACATCATACAACCTAGGGTGAATTTCCAAGTAGCCCTGGATTAAACAACCATAGAAGAGAGTTGCAAGGCAACAAATTTGTCAAGAACCACATTTCCATTTCCAGGCTTACGTAAACAAACAAAGCAACTCCTACCTTGATTGATAAAAAATCAATGAGTTGATACCACAAAAATAGCATGTCTTCGTACTGTTCATCTGCATGGCCATGATCTGAGCTCAAGTAGAGGTCCAATGCAGCATGAATATCATTAAGAAAGTCACTGTCAAAACAGAGCAAGTAAAGCATCAAAAACTGAACAAACTTTCACTAATCATCAACTAATATACTCTTCCTGATGTGCTTTATTGATGCAGAAAGACTAGCCTTTGAAGTGATAAAACCATTGAGTTGGGCGATGCCTCCTGGGTACATAATGCATGCAAAAGATAAGCATGTATAAGGAGCTGATGAACCCGAGAACTGCAGCTCTTTTTTGTGCCGTAGATTAACTTCTGTTTTCAAAAATGTCATGTTAAACAAAACGAACTAGAAACGGCAAATACAACTAATAATAAATTAGCTGCATATAGCTCACCAATGTCGATATAGCATCTGATAGACACTGAACACACTCATCCAATCGTGCTAACCCATGAACTCTTAGTACTTTTCCCTTTTCAATAAGAATCCTAGATTTCTTTAAATTACTGTCTTTTGCAATATAAACCTCTTCTAACAGGATGTCAATTATTTGCATTCGCATACGGAGACAGTATCTTGGATTCAGGTAACTCTGTGTCTCGTATGCAAGAAGCTCCTAACAAAGTCCAAGCAAGATATGTTTAGAGAAGCGGCATCAAATGCGCATACAAAAAATAACCATAAGAAAACAAGCACGTGTGTGTGAGAGGCAAGGAGAAAAAAAACCTCTTCCAATATTTTTCCAAGTGTCTTTTTAGATATTTCTTTACAAGATGAAAGCAAAGAATGCAGCATCATGCCATGCTCTGTATCTGCATCCTTCAACAGTAAATATTGTACCTGGAAAGCAGGTCACAATCAGATAGGGTTGGCTTTAAAATAATACTTAAGTAAGCAATGAGCCAATAAATGTTACCTTTACCCACTCCTTTATCAAAGACACAGGAGTTGGTACAGTTGCAATCAAATTTTCTGAAACAGACCAGCATATAAGACTTTTCTTGATGATTCCATCTATCTTGCAGTTACTTTCTTGATTAAGTTGCAGAAGAAAAGCAACTTTTTGAGAAGCCTCCATGATAAATTCTGCAATGGCCTTTTCTGACAGATCATCACAGGAAACATGTGATTTTTCGACATGCATTTTAGAAAGATATGCCACATAATTCCATGAAGCTTTACAGCATAATTTTAAAGCCTTTATTGCCTGCACAAAATGATAATTCACCGGTAGCTATAAGTTAGTATCATTCAGATCACTAACTACTTTGTTGGGACATTGTTAGCTACATTGTATGATCCATTAACGACCCAGCTAATACCTCTTTTGGCTGCTTTTTACGGGTGAAAATTACAGCTAGATTGTTGAGAGAAACATATAGGTACTTGAGCCTCTTAACTGAAACCCACTCAGCTGAAATAACTTGCTTTACCAATAGAGTACTTTCCTGTGAACATTTCAGATTGCAGAGGGATTTCAGGATGTGTACTGAAAACAACAATGACAATACTGTTTTATTAATTATAGTGACCCAGTTTAACTGTTGGATGGCGTGGGAACCTTAATATATTTGTTTGTTTTTAATGAGAGCATAAGAGCAGCCACAACTACAACAGATATCACTCTGTGATTGTCTCCAGATGTCTCTCTCTCCTTTTCAGTTGCGCTACATCAATAAAGAGATGTAAACTATGTAGGTCATCAAAATGTAATTTTATATTAGAATCTTAAAAAATACACAAACGACAAGAGAGATTCTTCCAAAGAAATTCTCTTTAGAATATTCTAAATGAAAAATAAGGAATACCGTCCTCACAAGGCACAGTAAAAGTCAGGTACCTGAGACATTGGAGAAAGGTATTGCAAAATTCATGAAACGCATACTGGATAATATTCAGATCATCCCAAGAACTCTCTGCCTCAGAAAGAATCTCTTTCCTGTTAAAATATATGGAATCTGCTAGTGACTGACAGAAAAACTTGAGAGCTTCCCAGTAAGGTGCATGTGAACTTTCTTTTTGTTGAGAATTCTTCACTTTGCCACCAATGTCAGAGTGGTCATTCAATAAATTAATTGAAGCAGCCATTTGTTGACACTGCTTCTTGTTATTGAGAAATTTTTGAAGAGCATATCGTGGTAGAGTATTTCTACATTTTTCTATATCTTCCCCTTTCGACTGGTCATGTGATGAACTTGCTAATAACCCACTTGCATAAAGTGTCAGTACAGAAGTGATGAACGGAAAATCCTTCAAAGAAAATACATAACTCTTCAAATTAAGCACTATAAGTTACAACTTCATGTGGTCAATATATAAGAAGCACAAAGCTACGAAGTGCAATATAAATACCTCACGGAATGTGTCTGCTAATCTAGACAGATGTTCTGCAACTGGATCACATAAACTCACAGTTAAACTATGACATTTATTTGCACAATAACACACAAGTTCCAAAAATCCAGGAGTTGTTTCTTCCACTCCAACCTGCCAAGTAAAACTAAAGCATATTGAGTTACCACGCAACAGATAGGTCCAAAATAACTTACAATGAGAAAAAAGAAAGATTTCAAAACCAACTATTACCAAAACCAACTATTTCAAAACCAACTCTTTAATTGTGTGATAGTGCCTACGTTTCTTCTAGGGATACTAAACACTTTAAATGCCATAATTATTCAAGTGAAGTGTTTGAAGACCACATCAGTTGCCCTGGAAATGTAGGTCTCTTAAACTAAAATTATTACATTTGTAGCACTTACAGAAATTAACTCAAGTCCCAAGGCATACCGAGATAACTACATCAGAAACAGGAACCATTCAACAACAAGTTGCATAGTCCAGTAGTTTGGTTTCAGTTAATTAATATGCACCTACAATGTCATCCCTGTTAACAGAAATAAGGAAATTATAAATAATTATCTATTCTTTGCACGATATATTACCTTGCACTCATCAGCCATAATATCCAGGACATGTTTCAACACATCAAGAATGATGTCACTAGACAGCTCGTCTATCTGAGAGAAAAGAGAGGAACAAATCTTGAGTGCAACCTGTGACCATAAAAAGAACAAAGAAAGGAGAATAAGAACATCAAGCGGCAGGATAGCGTTATTTAGGCGTTACAGAGTCAAATAAAGTTCAGTTCCAGTTGATCCTTAACCTTGTACACTTGATCGTGAGCATGTGATTTCTTGTATTCTCGGAAGGTAACCATGGAAAACTCACACATCAAATCCACGCCAAAACACTTCATCTCCGCTACCAAAAACAGAGCAATTATGTGCAAATTCGTCTCCAAGAAACAGTGGAATTTCTCGTAGTCCTTGGCATCCAAGATCCTGTATTGTTCAGATTAATTCGATCAAAATCAGTATTCAAAAGTCAATTCACCCATGTAGAACATCTTAACTCGAAGCTACTAAAAACGGGAATCGCATAATAAGTGTCACTCCACAAATATATATATATGCACGACTTCGTTAAACAAATACAAATATGAGCTCGACTCAGTGCGTGCAGTCATACTTGAACCATGGTTCGGATTCATTCACCAAAGAAATGACTCTCCAGTAATCAGCACCCACTTTACTCCTCCTCTTCGACGCACATTTTACTAAGGTCACAACAACCTCCAATACTATAGCTGCAACTTCTTGATCCACGCTCTTCTCGTCCAATTCAGGAACCAAACGCTCCTTTGATTTTCTCGACTTGCCCTTCAATCCACCTCCAACAACGGCATTTAAGCTCTGGAGCACAACAAAACCCTCTGCTTCCGCCTCTTTGTACAACTCCCACCGCTCCAAACAGTGTACGTACCGAATTCTCTGCACGTGGACTGAATGGGGCTTTCCGGCTAGCTCCGGCGCAATCAATTCGAGGCAGTCGAGGCAGAGGCGGTAACTATCGAACAATTCGAGGGCGGAGTCGCGAGGGATTTTTGGGGTTTCTGAGAGGCGTTTGGGGAGGAGTGAGAGGGACTTGTGTATGAAGGATAGGAACTGTTTGGCAAGGCTGCGGATGGTGTGCGGTTCTTCTTCTGGGGGTTTGGATTTCGAAGATTTCGCCGTTGTTTTCTTCGCGGTGGCGGTGGAAAGATTGAAGAAAGGGGTGAAGGGGTGGAGGTGGGCGCTGAAGAGGCGGTGGGTGCCGGCGAGGTCGACGGAGGATTGGAGTTTGGAGAGAAGATCGGCCTCCGCCGTCGATTTGCATCCCATTGCCGCGGTGGCGATTGGTTGGAGGAAGACGGTGGTGGAGTTAGTGCGTGAAGTGTGTGAGAGAAGAGTGAAGCCTTTTTGGGTGGGCGGGAAACAGGCCGCTCAATGTTATCGCGGAGGCTGATTTTGTAATTTTACATAATAGAGGGTAGGAGCCCGAAATTTTTTTAACGTTGATATATAATATAATAATAATAATAATAATAATAATAATAATAATAATAATAATAATAATAATAATAATAATAATAATAATAATAATAATAATAATAATAATAATAATAATAATAATAATAATAATAATAATAATAATAATAATAATAATAATAATAATAATAATAATAATAATAATAATAATAATAATAATAATAATAATAATAATAATAATAATAATAATAATAATAATAATAATAATAATAATAATAATAATAATAATAATAATAATAATAATAATTTGATATTTGAAATAATATTTTAATATTAATTTAAAATTCATATACTTAAACTTATACTTTAATATTTGATATTTTATTTGATTTAATATTGATTATTAAATTAATAATCAAATATAAGTTTATGGATGGTTTTATTTGTAATTGTTACATGTCAATTTGTGATTCGATATTTAGGTGGTTATATTTTTTATATCTCAATTTTTAGTAACTGTATTTACATCCCAAACGGTGAATTATCAAAATAGAACATTCATTTAATAACTTCATTGCAGTTAAAAATTTATATTTTTAAATATGTAAATGGTGGTTTAAGATCTTCATATTCTATTTGATAATCACATTGTAATTGCTCTAATACCACAAATTACTTTGGAAAAGATTAAATATAATTTCACACTAAAATGACATGTTAAAAGAGTATTCCATAGTAAATTAAAAGAAATATAAACATAAAACACACGCCACACCAAAATAACAACCATAAAAATTCTATTGCAAGATCATATAAGTAAAACACCTTTCTCCCCTTCACCATCTTCTTCTTCATATTCGTATTCTTTCTACACCATATACCTCTTCGTTTTCTTAGTAAAACGTTGAAGGAGAGCGGAGTACTCTTATTCCCTTTGTTTGACGGTAAACATGGTTAGAGTATTATGCTTTTGCTTCTTTGAGCTCGCTTAATGATCTAGGAAGTCAGTACCGAGCTGGTCAAAGCTACTTATTGTGCTTGAGCGGGTCCCACTAAGTTTATTAGTTATTACGAATACTATGCATTTAACTCCATCGAATTGTTGAATAGACATAGATGTTTGTACGGGTAGATGGTTCCCAAGTATTAGTAGGAAAGTGGTCTGACACAAGTTGGGTAACTCGTCATCTAGTACTTCCTCTATAACGGGCTTCTCGTACCTAGCCAACGATTTCTCTAAAAACGGGTTCTCTTGCAGGTTACAAATATTAGTGTTGTTGACATTACATTTTCACACTTGCAGGTGCTCAATATAATTGGCCAAGTTCGAACTTCAAAATCATTGTTTATATTTGGTTCAATCTGTCTAGTCATGTCAGTAAAAATATCCACGAAAAATCAAATTCTTTTATAATTTCACACAATATGTTAGGATATCAGCATGCAATAACAATATAAAATAGACTGCAGATATTTGCAAGACGAAAATTACTAAGTGCAAGACATTACTTCATGCAAGACCAAAATATAAATAAATTTACTAAGATCAAGACTGTAAATTACAAATATAACCCCAATTAATTAATTTAGATATAATTAATTTAAATTAAGCTAATTGCTATTGCAGACCAAAAAAATACAAAAAGATAAAAAAAAAGGAAAAAGAGAGGGAACAACAAAGGATTGGGTGGCAAAAGATCTTCTTCTTCACCCTCATTTTACACATTTTTTTCCACAAAAAAATCTTCCATATTCTCCAAAACCCTTATCACATAAAACCCTCAAATCTTACTAAAACTTGAAAAGAAGGACATTATGGATACACAAGACATAAATATGGAGGATTCTAAGGTCGAAGAACACAAAGAGGTAAGAAATATTGTACTTTGTGATCGTTTTTCTCGTTTTCCGCACCTCATTTCACGTACAAAAAATTCGACATGTACAGGTCGAAATATCCGCTTAATATCGACACAGTAGTGTCGAAAATTTCAACATAATTCGACACTCCTTAACTGTCGAATTATATTGAATTTTTCGACATTGTGGTGTCGATATGAAGCGGATATTTCGACGCTTGTGTGTCGAATTATCAATGTTACAATTGTGTAACCAATTTTCCGATTTTTCTTGCAGAGTTTTGTACCTAGCGCGTGTAGTGGAGCTAATGCATGTAGGGAATTAGCTTTGGATTATTCACATGAATTTACCACCCATGAGGAGTTTGCAACAAGGGACAATTTAGTCACATGGGTGCGCGAAGTTGGTATGTGACTAGGAATGATAATGTCAGTAAAGTCTTCAAACCCGGGAAAAAATAGACGTAGAAGGCCCTACGTGGTACTTGTATGTGAGCGTGCGAGAGTGTATCGTGGCAAAAAGGTACCCGGTCAAGACGACCAAGGAAAGGGAAAAAGGCAAACAACGTCCAAGAAATGTGAGTGTCCGTTTGAGTTGAAGGGCCAAAAAATGGGCATGGATGATGAAGAAGTTGGGTGGGTGTTGACAGTTGAATGTGGTAGTCACAACCACTCAGATTTTGAAAACTTTCAAGGCCACTCATATGCTGGAAGATTAACAAGTGAAGAGATGGCACTGGTAGAAGACTTGTCAAACGCATTGGTGAAACCAAAGGCAATCTTATCATCACTAAAGTTGAAGAATCCAACAAATGTGTCTTTAATTAAGCGGTTTATAATGCTCGTCAGAAGATCCAGTTCAAAGAGAATGCTGGTAGAACTCAAATGCAATTGTTGATGTTGAAGTTGTCCGAAAATAACTACTTCGAGTATCACAGATATTTGGAGGAGACCGGCGAGGTAATGGACTTGTTGTGGACCCACCCTACGTGCATTAAATTGGCATGTAGTTATCCGTATGTATTGGTTATGGATTGTACATACAAAACCAACATATACGGATTCCCATTCCTGGAGATTGTGGGTATTACTTCTACGAATAAAACGTTCTCTGTTGCATTTGCATACCTTCGGGCGGAAAAAATAGACAATTACGTATGGGCCTTGAAGAGCTTGGCGAAGGTCATGGAAAGTTGTCCTAGACCTAATTGTATAGTCACAGATCGAGAGTTGGCTTTGATGAAGGCCATAGAGATCGTATATCCCTCCAGTCAACAACTTTTGTGTCGATGGCACGTGAGCAAAAACATTCTTAGTAATTGTAAGAAGATGTTCAAAACAAACAATGATAAGTGTAAAGATTTTGAGTCGGAATGGGCAAGTCTTGTTGGTCAAGAGACAGAAGAGTCATTTCATAAAGAATGGGATGTTATGAAAACAAATTTTGTTGACTACCAGGATGCTTTAACTTATGTCTCTCATTCGTGGTTGGATCCGTACAAAGAGATGATTGTCTCGGCTTGGACAAACAAACATATGCATCTTGGAACGTACACTTCTAACCGGGTAGAGGGTGCACACTCACGAATGAAGAAAGAGTTGGGAAATAGTATGGACACATTTGTAAAGATTTGGGCTCATATTGACAACCTACTGATGCATCAACATACGGAAATCAAAGCCTCGTTTGAGAAGAGCAAGAATACTTACCAACACAGTTACAAAGTAACGATATACAACGAACTTCGAGGATGTGTGTCGTTGTACGCTCTTGAGCAACTCAAACTTGAGGTGAAAAAATCACTTGAGTTGCTTCCGAACGAGTTTATGTCTTGTATTTGCGATATCCGAACCACTCATGGATTACCTTGCGCCCACGAACTTCATGATAACGTCGTAAATCGCACTCCCATCTCATTGAACTGGATAGACCCGTATTGGAAGCACTTGAGCATGGAGCCAATGATTTGTACAAAGGATGAACATCTCCCGACTGATGCGGAAGAAATGGAAGCATGGCGGGCTGTTTTCGATCCGTCCGACGCAAAAAAAAAAGGGTTCAATTGCTTATGAAATTGCGGGAGATTACTCACCCCGAGAGTAACTCTCTCATTGAGCCAATGCAAAAGGTTGTTACCAAAGGTCGTCCCGGAAAAAAAATGCGTATTGATAAATCAACCCGACGCAACCCATCCAAATTTGAGTACGAGCTTAATTCAAGCAAAGATAGTTGTTCCCCAAAGGTAATTTTTTTGAAATTTTTAGCTCATAGTTCATTTTTTGGTTTCTCATTTAGTAATACGTGATATTGGTTAAACATTGTAGACTCCTCAGAGTTGCACTCCTATTTCTGGTATCCAAAAGCAACGTGAACAGCTTATGCCGCAACCGATCACTGTATCGATGGTAACCGACATCTTCAATCGAAGCACCGGTAAATCGACGGTGTTGGAAAAATATATCAGTAAAATATCGACACCAGCGTGTCGAAAAAAACAACAATTCTCGACGCTCTAGCGTCGAAATATGTCACATTTTTCGACAACTTTATGTCGATATTAATCATAATTTTCGACATCAATATGTCGATATTTCGCTGTAATTTTTAGGCCCATTATGTATTACTAATTTAACCTTCTTATGTGCAGGTTCGAAAAAAAACTACCAAGGATATATATATTAAACAAATACATCCGAAGTTCCGAAGATATGTTGGAGATATAATAAATGTTGCGTCGGATGATCATTGTGGATTTCGGGCGGTTGCATTAATGATGGGCTTTGGGGAAGATAATTGGAGTCTAGTACGAAGAGATTTGGTCGATGAGCTCATTATGAATGATGCTATCTACATGAATATCCACAAAGTTCGAGATACGCTTGATGAATTGGAAGAAAAAATGAGGTGTTCGGTTACACCCGCCCCTTATGAAAATTGGATGTCGTTTCCGGATATGGGTCATTTTATTGCGTCTAAATATGACATTGTGCTCGTACTGATAACGTAGCTGCAGTGTCTTACATTTCTCCCACTCTCTAGTGACCCCGTGCAAGATGGGCAAAGACAAGAGCATGGGATAGCGCTTGTTGATAGAAATCATTTTGTGCGTCTTGTTTTGAAGAAGAATTGTCCTCTTCCCCCTGTAGCAGATTATTGGAGGCGATACCACCACCCTAGAGCTAGTGCTTGGAAAACTATTGATATGGAGTCTAGGATTATTGCTTTTAAAGAGCTAGTTAATCGTAATCATGTAGCACTACAAGAGACCATATGTATTGATATGTAGAATTGATGTATTAAATATATTTTTGATATATATATTTTGATGAAATAATTAGTTAAGTCGTGCATTATAAAAACATCCAAAATCATCAAAAAAACAAAAACATCCTAAATCATCCAAAATCATCCAAAAAATAAAAAACATCCAAAAAATAATTAAAATCATCTAACTATCTACTTTTTTCTAAGTTTCTTCCTCTGAAATGTTAGTAACGGTGGTCGAGCGGTCGACGATGATGGAGCGATCGACGATGGTGCATCCGATGGTGGAGCAGTCGACGATGGTGGATCCAGTGGTGGAGCAGTCGACGACGGCGGTGAAGTAGGAGTGTCACCAGCAAACAAATCAACAATCCCCTCTGACGTCATCACCATCTCGGTATATCCATCATCAGTATCTTGCTCGCGTATGCGAGCCAATGTAGTCCTCACCATCGTAATAATCTGAGAATCACGGGCCTCTAGTAGTGGGTATCGAGCTATCTGGCGGCGCCCGGGTGCTTGCGGTCGAGAAACTGGAAGCATACTGAGTTTTGTGATGGTCCGCTTCCTATACCAATCCATATAGTCGGGTGTAGTGTCCGGCTCTCCTAATACCACTGGAACTGATCTGGACCGCTCATTAAGCAAGTGATCTTCCCATCGCTCAGAATATATGTTCTGGTACGCCGCAAATACAAGATGAGGTGTGCCCCGCTTCTGCTTCCTAAACATAGCGTCCGACATGTACAGTTGGCCGGGAATCTTCTAAACACGCCCAAATTGTCTCAAGACCCTGTCCGGATGGTAAGGCTCCAAAGTACACATGTACTGTAACATGCCACTAAACCACGTGGACTCTGGCATAGGAAACCTGTCACGGAGGACCTCATACGGGGCCCATATAATCTGCGACAGTAAATAAATTAAAATGAAGAAACAAAAAAAGTAGTCGAAATGAGTTAAAATTTAAAAATTGAAAAAACTAACAAAATAAGAAATCAGTCAAAATTAGTTAAATGAGTACCTCATCGGAGCTCAGATCATCTATCAGAGTACACAGATCACGGGCTCTGTCATTGCTTGAGTCGGACTTCAGTGGATATACCCATCGTGTAACTAACGGTCCATCAATCTCGCTGGACCTAACCGTCGGTGTGAGACGGGGGAAATGCGTAAATCCAACCCTGAAGAAGCATCAAATATCCACTGATTTGCTTCGTATTAGCCCTTGAAGCATCCGACAACGCCTCATAGAGTAGACACAAACAAACTGTACCCCATGCGTAAGTCCTAATATTGTCCAAATCTTCTAACAAACACAACAACTGCAGTGTACCCATATTCCCCGTCTTGTCCTGGAATATCGTACATGACAATACGTACAACAAAAATGCCCTTGTCGCACACGTCTTTTTATTCTCATCATCACTATCTGTCACAGAACTGAAAGTACTACGCAACCACTCCAACTTAAGCGCCTTCAGATTTTGACCCCAACATTTATCCGTCGATTCAAGCACTACTCCGAGAATTCGATTTACGATTGCTTGTGACGATGGCCCCGTCTTACTAATTTGTTGAATAAATACCGGCCGTCCCACCACTGGCAAACCTATCAAGCTGCTGACATCGTCTAGCGTGATAGTCATCTCCCCAAATGGTAAATGAAACGTACAAGTTGCTGGTTGCCACCGCTCTATGAAAGTCAACACCAATGCACTATCTATCACCTTGTACGAATGACGTACAAGGGGCATCAAACCGGACCTCTCGACAACCTCGGTCATAAAAGGAGTCATCCGCCACTTCTCCAACATTGTTGTGTGATTATGAACCCTCACACTTTCGCGCTCCTACAATTTTAATAAAAATAAACATTCAATCAATAAAGTAAATAACTTCAATAACATATGTATATGTGTGTCTATAAGTGTAAAAGTACCTTTCCGGACAAAATCTGTCGGGCGATATGATTCTCAAACTGCGGCATCAAGTCTGGTATTTGTGGTCCTCTGGGACCAGCCAATTGGCTACTAGATCCACCAACTTCGGTGGTCGATGTGAGCGGTGGATCCTCAGGTAAACGTGTACGATTGGCCGGAGGATCGACCCGAGTAGCTTGAGAATCGCCACGTTGAACTTTACGATTGACCAATGCCTTTCTCTTGCGTTCAGAACCAGTTTGGGGAATACGCGGTTCCACTGGAAAAATATAAATATAATATTAATCATTTATATATAAAAAAAAAAAGTTTGCAAAAAAATTAGTTTACTAGTCAATTTTCGACATCATAGTGTCGATATTTGTACACAAAATCGACATAAGCTCTGTGTCGAAAATTGTACACACATTCGACACAGAAATGTCGAATATTGCTCCAAAACTTGACACCGGGTTTATGTCGAAATTTTGTACACATATCGATATTGAGATGTCGAAAAAAGGTCCAATAATCGACAATTGTTTGCTGTCGAAATTTGATTAAAATATCGACACCAGTGTGTCGAAAATTTGCCAAAAAATCGACAAGTACAGGTCGTTTTTGTAAAACCGCAACTCCTTTAACAATAGTGCTACAATTGAACCCTAGAATCATCAACTATGTTCTAAAATGACTTGAATTCATTATTCTAACAATAAAATCATGTTTATCACATTTTTCTCAAAAAAAAGTTAATTCAAAAAGTAATTTCCTTACTTGCTTTTCGTGAGATTGTTGTGGCGGGGTTGGGGCAACAACGGAGTTCAACGGCGACGGGGAGGTGGTGGACTTCAACGGCGACGACGATGGCGACGGGGCGACGACGACGGGGCGACGGCGACGGGGCGACGATGATTTTTTTGCTGCAATTGATTTTTTTTGTTTTCTTCTTCCAATCTTCCCTCCTCGTTTTTCAATTGTCAATTCAATTTCTTTTTTATTTTTTTTTATTAATTTTTCTTTTTTAAATTGGTCTTGTAAAAGGAAATTAATAAAATAATTTTTTTTTTGTATTTTATTAAGGTTATTATAGTCTTTTTATACTGAATTTAATAAAAAAATTAATTTGGTCTTGTCCTAAGTAATTTTCGTCTTGCAAATAGTCGCTGCCTATAAAATATTGTTTGCACCAAAGATCTGATTGGACATGCATTAAATGTTATCGAAAAGTAAGGAAGTCTCGTGCCCGATTGACATATTTAGGTCTCATTCTTCTACCGAAGACCGTTTTGGGACAAATTAGCTTATCGGGCGACGATTCATCGAAATTGATCCGGATCAAAATTTAATTTCAAATCATAAAGTTCTATGTTCTTTATTTTTTCATTTTGTCTTTCAAAATGTTAAAAAAAATAAAAAAAAAATAGATAAAATATCAATTAGTTTAGCTGATCCAACGACGATGGGCTCGGCCCAATAATCAACAAGGCCCAAATGCTACAAAAACAGCTGGCCATAGAAAATCAAAATAAAACACCAAAACGGCGTCAGAGTGAACAACAATTAGGGTTTTAGACTTTGGTTCAAATTCTTAAACCTACCAATTGTTCACCCCTCTCTCCTCTGCTCGCTGACAGTTTCTCGCCGGAGATGCCGAAATCAAAGCGCAATAGGCCAGGTCTGCATTTCTCTTTTTTTTGCTCATATTTTTGTTGAAGATTTGTCCTTTATTTGCTTTATCTTCGAAATTTCACATTTTTTTTTAATTTATGGTGGCGGCTGTAATTCAGTGACGCTATCGAAGACGAAGAAGAAGGGGAGAGAGCATAAAGAAACCGTAGTGAATTCGATACGTGATGCTGCGGAGAAGTTCGATTCGGTCTACGTTTTCACTTTCGAGAACATGAGGAATCTCAAGTTCAAGGAGTTCAGAGACCGCCTCAAGTCCTCCAGCAGGTTGGGAAATATAATTATTTGTAATTGGATTTTAATTTGAATTAACTCCGGTTGAGTTTTCGTTGTCGATTACACGTAAATGATGGGTCATGTTATCAACTGAATCACACTTCCCTACCATGAATTTCTTCATTAGTACTGCAGTCTAGGAAACGAGGTTTTGGAAAATGAGCAGCTGAACTTTTCGTAAATTTGGATGTTAGGCTTTCGATTTTTGTTGTATGTTCAATTTAGAAACTTTACGAGTTGAAAATGACGTAGATTTAAACAGGCCGGTGTTAGCTTTTCGGGGTGACTTGTGATATATTGGTAGAAGAGCGAAACAAAATTAAGTAGCTTTCGGTGGAAAAGTTAGTTACTCGGCCGTTGGCTTTATCAATTGTTGCGGTTCTGTCCTTGTAGGAATTTAGGAATTTGAGTTTCGGTTTCTGCTGAAGGATTTTAGTTAAAGTATTAATAAAGTGAACGACTTGTGCTTTCTTTGTCCTAGATTCTTTCTAGGATCAAACAAAGTTATGCAGGTTGCTCTGGGTAAGACTGCTGCCGATGAGATCAAATCGGGTCTTCACAAGATTTCGAAGGTAGAGTGAGCGCCTTTGCGTTCTTACTTTTTATTTGATATGTATGTCAACTTGGCAACATATATTGATAGAATCTTGCGTTAACTTGGACATTTTTTATTCTTGTAATTGTTTGGCATTCAGGTTCTACATGGAGATTCAGGACTTTGTTTCACTAGCTTGCCTAAAGAAGAAGTGATAAGGTACGCCCTTGACCTGCTTTATGATACACGCTGACTGGAGAAGTTTTAGACAAGGATAGACGATACTCACATTTTTGAGTTTCTTAACTGTAAGATTGAAAAATGAGCATGTTAAAGCCTCTGAAACCAGGGAAGTCGAGGAAACTGATTGAGTGTTATTCTAAGGCTAAGTATACAATGAGAGAACTGCATAATCATTACACACTATTAAAGTCGGTTTTTATTGTTTATTTGATTTTTGTATGTTGTTTGAAGGTAAATGGCTAGAGAACTTGTTTAACCATTCAGAGTCCGGGATATATTAACTATAAAAATATCTGAACAATGAATGATTAATCGATATATTCTAATGGATGATTAGTACTCCTGTTAATGGAATATTGGTCCCTCTTGTTTTAATCACACTTGACCGGTTGAGATTGGAGACTTCATTTCTTCTGTAGCATTTCATTTGAGAAGACTCTAGATTCTTCAGTCCATTTATCAATAACCGTAGAGTGTGTTTAACTTTTTTCTTTTTCTTTTTTCATCAGATTATTTGGTGAATACGAAGATTATGATTTCGCTAGGACTGGGAGTACTGCAGCAGAAACGGTATATGAATATCTTATTTTATTTTATTTAAGTTGTCATCTCTTGGTTGAAATCATACCTTACAGCTATGCTGATTATCATACCTTACAACTTGAACTTTACATACATAATTAGTTGAAATCCCAAACGTTTCTCATGTTTGGTTTATTGTTTAGGTGGAGCTGAAAGAAGGTCCTCTCGATCAGTTCACTCATGAGATGGAACCCTTCTTGCGCAAGCAAGGAATGCCTGTTCGGTTAAACAAAGGTGTGGTTTTATATTTCTTTTTATTATTAAAAAAAAAAAATCATGGCTTGTGTATCTGTTTGCTCATCAATATTCTGTTGTGCAGGTGTTGTAGAGCTTGTATCAGACTATACTGTATGCGAAGAAGGAAAACATTTATCACCAGAGTCAGCTCGCATACTGGTTCGTTTTCAAAACTCACTCAGTCACGAGTCTCACTTCAATACAATTTTGACACTCGATATTGAATTTTTCCATCGCAAATACTGTTCTCGTCCAAAATCTCTCATTTGGGTTCAATATTTGTAGGCATTGTCATAATTTTTTGTATCGCTATGTATTTGAATTCTTTTTAATGGAGAGTGTTTCACCTTTTTGTGCAGCGTCTATTGGGAATTAAGATGGCTACGTTCAAACTACATTTGATATGTAGATGGAGCCCAGAGGACTTCGAAGTTTACAGAGAAGGGTTGGAAGATTCCGATATTGAATCTTCGTAGGTTTCATTACTGGAAACAAAACTCTTTGGAAGAAAGATTTGTGCATCCTCAAGTTTTGACATTATTATATTATGAGGGCGGATATTCGTTGTCGTGAAAGATTTTGTAAGATGGTTAAGTAATCGATTTTTCTCTTTACAGTCTTTACATATTTTTCTCTTAACTATTCACAAGTTAATCGTAAAACAAAAGATAAGAGTTGAAATGAGAATCAATTTTTTTGAATTTTCTTCAAAAATTAACTTGTTCAATGCAATATGTGTACTGAACAAGTGGTGCATGAGTTTGTGCAAATTTTTACAATCGTAATTTTGAATTGTTAAAAAAATTCGACCTAAATTTATTATGTAAATCAACCTTCATCCAATAACATAAATTAAAACATATTTTCGTATTGCATTCGACGTTTTAGAATAAATAAACTAATGTTTGTTGAACTAGTAGTCAAAAACTCACGCGCAATGTCCGACCTACCAAACGAGGCCTGATAAAACGAGAGGGATAAAGCAAATGCAACGAACTTCCTTACACAAAAAGGATAACTCCCTATCAATGTAGTATAATGTTCACATTCCATCACAAAACAAGAATTACACGTACAAAAATAAATCTAATCGCTCCTTACCGTGTTTTTTTCTTTCTTTTTATCGGGAGAGAGAGAGGCTGCTATGTTAGTAGCTCGGCTTTCTTATCTTCCAAAAGCTTCAACTCGTTGCGCCAACTTTCTAGTTTAGCCACTTTCTCCAACTGCTCGGGTTTCAAGTCTTTCTCTGCTGTTTTCTGCTGCTGTGCTTCAGTCAGTCGAATCTACACAGTATAAGTAATAATAACAAATTTATCAATTCGACGTATGAGTTTATATTAAAATGCAATTAATATGTCCTTCAAACTTAATATGTAATTTACCTTCTTTTTTAGGGCTCGAATCTTCTTATCGATATCTTCGACTTGATCCGTAGGAGTTGAACAGTTGGTTGAATCTGAAGGAGGTGTGACCAAAGAGGCGTTTCCGGAAAGAGAGAGCCCGTTCATATTCGATGCAACTGTCTCTATTTCTGGAAGGTCATTCGAACAATCGGAAGGCAAAGTATCATTTTCGTCCTTATCAACGGCTGCCTGCGACCAATAGTATTTCTTGAAATTAAGAGAGATGAAATCTGTAATATAGAAGTCCGAGTAATTTCATAGGTAATTAAATCTTATTTTATTATTTTGAGCATACGTATTATCACCATGTTGAAGTGGCTAAAAAAAAATTAATTCAACGAACTAATCCTATAGAAAAAAATTCGGAATCCACCAGAAAAATAGAGAAAATTCTCCGAAATTTGTGTTAATGCCGAATGTTATATCTTCCTTAACTATTTTACATCTATTTAACATTATATAATTATTATATTTTCACCTTTGCGCATCAAGAATCGTTCTCGTGATCAAGTAGTTATGATGCCACCCTAAATCAATTTGATGTCCCTCATCACACACACACACACACACACACACACTACATGTATACGTAAACGTAATAAGACTTGGAACAGACCAATACACATACATACACCTATACACACATTTTTTCACGTCTACATGACTAATCGAGACGATAGGGCTATTTGGAAGTTCTGATAGATATGCACAATGTACAAGCCCCGGAAGCAGAATAACAAACAAAGCATCTTCCAAGGAATAAATTAAAGATCGAACACGAATTGAGACTGATAAAATCGAAAGTTAATCGAAGAAAACAGGGATATGTTTAAAATGTAACCTGCTGACGCTTCTCTTTCTTTCGCTCGTTCCTCTTCGCAGATTTCGACTTAGGTTTCGTTTCCACCACCGGATCATATCCCGGCGGAACCTCCTGAGTCGCCGCCATCTCCTTCTTCCACTGCCGTCAAATTAAAAAAAAAAAATCAACAATTAAAAAATGAACAACAGGCAGAAATAAATAAATAAATAAATTAGAAAAACAACCAGCTGAATTGATAACTACTACTACTCACGAGTGCGCCTTTGGATTGGTAAACCGCGACCTCGTCCTGAGGAACGTAACCGGCCCGAATACGAATGGGCTTGCGGAGGGTGCCGTCGGGTCGCCGGGTCGGGCCGAGTAACCGCTCCCCTTCTTTTAGGGTTTTGCCTAGGTCAGCCGTCAGATGCGTGACGTCATCCTCGTCTCCATTTGAGCTGCTCGTCGCCATTCTCAACCAGCTCCGCTTTGAATTGATGATCGAGAGAAGCTGGAAAAATGAATTTCCACTTTTTTTTTTTTTTTTTTTCAATTTTTTGGGTGGCGTTTGGTAATTAACGGGCAGTAGCAGTGAATTAATTGAAACTGCGAGAGGTTTATGAGAGAGAGATTAGAGAGAGAAACCCAGATGTACGGGCCGGGCCGAATGTCTTGACATGTGGGCCTGCAATAATGAGTTGGGCCTGAGCTGACCGTTATCTCATGATTTGATTTGCATTGGATCCTAATATAGTAATATGTGAGAGTATGATAAAAGAAAACATTTATTATTATATAATTTTTTTTTCGCCAAATGTCAAACAAATCTATGTAAAACACATTGGAAAATTAGTTATACTCCCTAGTTATTGAAAATTATTGGGGGTAATTTGGATCCGGTTCCATGGATTCGGTCAAATTCGCTTCGATCCATATGGATTGCATTGAATCTAGTTATAAATAAACTGGAACAGATTGAACCAAGTCGACAAAGTTTAAAAACTGGGTCTATTTTGGATCTATTGAAATTCCAACAAAAAAGAAGTGGACCCAATCAATATGTAATTACTTGTTGAGTGGTGATTTCTCTAATTACATGATGAATCTCAGTTATTTTGTGACTGAGAGTTTTGTAATTATTTGTTAAGTATTAGTTTTGTTATTAATGATGAGTGGCAGTTCTACATTATTGTTGAGTGGTTGTTATGTAATTACTTGGTGAGTGGCATTTATATAATTACTGATAAGTGGCATTTCTTTAATTATTTGATGACTGAAAGTTCTGTAATTACCGAGTGGCAATTCTTTAATTACTCGATAGTGGCATATCTATAATTATTTGGTGAGTGGTACTTTGTAAATGATGAATAGCAATTCGATAACTATTTGTTGTGTGGCAGTTATTTAATTATATTGTTGAGTACTGTCATATTTGTAATTACTTGGTGAATGGTAATTATGTAATTTACTTTGTGCGTGTGACAATTGTATATAACTATTCAGTGCTATAATTACTTAGTGAGTGCCAATTCTGTAACTATCCTTTGAATGTGAGTTTTACAATATAATAATTACCTGCTCGGTGTCGGCCTTTTAATTATTTATCGAGTGACAATTTGTTTTAGTTACTAATGATTAATAGCTCTGTAATTACTATTGACTAGAAAAAAAAACGAGTATTTTTTCTCAACAGAACGTCCAAACTTTCATCAAAACCAAAATAGCCATTGTTCTTATTTCAAGTAAAATTTTATTCAAACTACTTTTAGCTAATTAATTGCCTCATTACACATTGAGTTAATTAATTAGTGCATAAAAATAAATATCGATGCATGCGTACAAATAATATATAACTCATGCAATCAAACCAAATATTGATCTCTTAAAACTCTGATAAAATAATTCCAAACATTTCAATATAAAAAAAATGAATTCGTGTAATATTTTCTTTAATCACGTGCCCAATCTCATTACCTGTGTTTCATGCATTAAGTTGCAAGAATATTCTCTATCTCTCTCTACTCTCTCTCTCTCTCTCTCTATATATATCATTTGAAGTAATTAGTGTATATATGTTTGGAATATATATTCAGCAAAAAAATGTCTTCTTCAGATGGCAAAAAGAAATTAGTAGAGAAAATCGACACGAAGAAAATAAAACCGCAAAGCAACATAAATTTCTTGGCCTGCACGAAATTCAACTCGAAGCAAAATAACAGTAGGAGTCCGAGGCCGATAAAAAATATTGCATTCTGCTCCTTTATTCAAGAAGCCTCCTCTTCCTCCGAAGAAGAAGAACGCCCTCCAACTAAAGGTAGCTGCAATCTTTATTAACGTATAAATTTTAATTCGACTAAAAAAATAAAGGGGAGGGAGTAGTTGGTCGTAATTCGCAAGACGTTTGAATCATTTTTTATCTTGTAGGTACAAGTACAAAGGCAAAATGTGATAAACCGAATGACGTAGCCAAACATGAACCGGCGAATACTGCAGAGTTGGAGGATAATAAAGATGCTACTCGTAATACATCGGAGTAGCTCGATCCAAAAAGAAAAGAAAAATATAATAGATCGGAATAGAAATAAGTATTTTTCTTAATAGTTACTTGTTTGATGTTTATTAATTTATATTTAGTTTTATAGTAAAATAAAGCCTACTTAATTTCTTTTACCAAATTAACTCATTACTCCCAATTCAATTGAAATGCAAATCAAGCCTACTTTTATTTTACAATGCAAGTATACAACATGTAGACATACATATATCACAATCCAATCACTTTAAATATTCTAAAAAGATATGTTGCCAATTTAAAAGTTTCTTATTTTGATTTAGGCTTTAATTTTTCTTTCAACCGAGTAGTAGAAAAAGACGTCATTTTAACCATTTTATTTGTTTATTTTCATTTTATTAAAAAACAAAAAACTATTTTGAGCATAAAAACTGACATTTAGTCAAGTTCATATTTTACGGTTTAACCGGCCAAATTGAACCGGACAAGACAACAGTTCACGGTTCAACCGGCCGGTCCGATCCGGATTTCAAAACATTGGTCGCATCGTAATCCAATTTTACAATGATTTTAGGAGGCCGAATATGGGTGATATCAAATATATACGCGAAAGCAATGTTGATAATTTTCGGTTGAAAATAAAATTATCAAATACGTAGGACACATTATTAAAAAAAAGGGTAAATAGCACTTGACCCCTATGTGGTTTCACTATTTTACACTTAATCCCCATGTGGTATCAATATAGGCGGATAACCCCCTTGTGGTTTATGATTAGTAGCTTTTTGTAATTTCAGTAACCAAAATAAGTAAATGTCTATTTTGCCCTTTTATTTATCTCTACTTGTATTGTTTAGGTTTACTTCACTTGATAAACAATTAGGGCTCACATTATTTTATTATATAAAAATAACATAATGAACAAAACCTGGTGATGACAACTCATTTTTACTTTTATCATTATATTTTGACGGTAAAATAAAAAGACTTGGTTTCGAATTAATGTTAAAAATGAAAGAAAACAATAATTTCTAATTACTGAAAGCAAGCCCAATACTTGTGCGTCCGTTAACATATCTTAGTAATTTATGTATTTTTCTTATTCTACTAAATCACATATTTTTTAAATTAGCTTACTAAAGTTTGTTTAACTAGTAGTTTAAAGAAATTAGAAATGACCATGGGGTTCATACAAGAAGGGCAACATGAGTATTTTTAGAAATTTATAGCTAGGAAAAACTCCACCACTTACGAATTGGGCGAGTGAAATACACTCACTATTGAATATCTTACGAAAGCTACTCATTATAAACCACAAGGGGGTTATCCGCCTATATTGATACCACATGGGGGTTAAGTGCAAAATAGAGAAACCACATGGGGGTCAAGTGCTATTTACCCTAAAAAAAAAAAGAGAGGGTAAATTACAACCGCCACACGAGATAAGGTCTATTTACAAAAGAACTTCTCATTTTTCTTCATTATTACATCCACCCCTGGAATTTATAGATTTCTTACATTAATACCCTTTTATAGGGGTGAATATAAGAAATTTACAAACTTCAGGGTACTGGATGTAATGTCTCAAACATAAGGGATTTGATTGTAAATTATGAAATATCTGAGATTGAAACTTATTTTACGGTAGGCCCAAAAGCGAAAGGCCCAGTAACACTTACGAAAACGGTTTTGACTTTTGAGTGACTCGGCCCAAAACAAGTTTGCAACTGGCGGGCTCTCGACCAACGCCACCGTGAACGGTGTCGCTGACGGCGGCGCAAGCGATGAGAACGAGACCAACCGCCGTGTTCATGGCCTTCGGTACCAGAGGCGACGTTAATCCGATCGCCGTAACTCTCTCGTCTCCTTTTTCCATTTCGTATTAATTAATTTTTCGAGTATTGACTATTGATTTATTAATTAGCGCAGTTGTTTATGGTTTTCTCCCCGTAGGCACTCGCGGCAGCTTTTGCTTCCGATCAGCAGCAGTATCAAGTTGCATTCGTAACTCATTCAGCGCACGAGGTACGGTACTGTGATGTTCAATTGTTAATTTTTGAATTGGATAAATTTGTAGCCCAAATTGAATATTGATAAAGTGAAAGTGATTGTGTTTGAACTTGTAATTCATATTGATTGCGAAATTGAGTTTGTTTATGTGCTGATTAGGTAGCTTGATATTTGCGGCAGATCACTTTGTACTATGTTTTTCACTAATGGTTGCGATTTTCATTATTTGCCGATCGGGTGGAATATAGGATTTTCTTCCCATACTTGTTGTATTTGTGTGGGAACTGTGAAATGTTGAAAATGCAATAGATTTTCTTCACGAAAACGTTGATCATTGATAACTTGGTTAGGTAGAAAAGCATCATGAATTTTATATAGAAATGATCATAATATCTTTGTAAGTTGTGTTATCAATTTTATTTTCTGAGAAGAAGTGTTATACATTTGTTAATCCGATATAATCACATTTAACATATCAAATTCTGAGCAAGGCGAGGAAGATCGGCTGCATCATCCTATTTGATTTTGCGGTTGTAGCTAAGTTACGAGCCCTTGATTTCCAAAGCTCCTAACAGGGTATTACAATAATAAATAATATATTTAGCTAAGAGTTTGATGTCATAAACCACTGGCACTATAGCCAAGTATTAAAGCTTCAGAATATTTATTTCATGAAATAGTGCATGTTCAGGTTTCGTGGCAAACTTGAGTTTTGAGCTCTGAGCTTCATGTTTTCAATTAATAATGCCTAAAAAAGTTCATTAGAATCATTACAATTAGCCCCATCAAAGTTAATCTACAGAGTTATTTAAAATATCTGCAAGAGTCCTACTCCTACATTTATGGTGCTTTTAAAAATCGAAATGAAGTTGTTAGATTAGCTTCAATAGCTTCATTTGTTTATTTTTATAATTATTACTCCACTATTTTTTCGGCTAGCAGAATCTGAAGGGTCAATTGGAAGCAAAAGGAGTTGTGTACTTTCCAATTTCTTCACCGCCTGTTTTGTCTTCTCAGCTACACAGTGATACAGGTGGTTTTCAATTGTACTTCTTTCTTTGGTTCTCAGCTATTAAATAGTACATCGTTTGCCGTTTAGGATTTAGAAATACTAATTTTTCTTAGATAGTCAATGGGTCCACATGTACATTCAATCTGTATGTTTGAAGATCTTTTTCAGAATTAGCATGCAGTTGTAACTTTATCATTGAAAATAATTCTTTTTTACCAGGTTCTAGAGAGAAATCTTTTTTTTATCTGCAGAAGAAAGAAATCACAAGAAAACACAGACATGAATGTCTTTTAGTTGTTGAAAAGATATATGGAGAAGGCACAATCATGGACGGTGATCTTATCATCATCAATTTCTTTGCTATGGTAACTTCTTGACAAGGCTGTTTGCATTCTTGACTAGTCGTATTTTTGTTTATGAAAAATTGCTGAAAAAAAGCTCATTGAAGAAAATAATTGTTTCATTATGCGTACAGTACATGTCATGCATATTAATTGAGACAGAGTTCTCGGGTTTCTTCATTGATCATGCACGGAATTAGGTATTCGTTATGGTATATGAAGAATTATTAAATTGAGGTCACATGCAGGCTCTTAAATTTTGAAATAAGGCTTCGATTGTAACCTCTATTACATAATGGTCTCATGAATTGTGTCCTGTTGTTCATTGTTTTGCATTAGAATGTATGACAGAAAATATTACTCAGTTGGTAGGCCTATGAATTTATTTAGAACTTGCAATTGCTATCATTTGAACTTGTTCGAGTAGTTGCAACTTACAATTGTATGAAGTGAGTTATTGTGAAATAATATATTGAGAAACATTCAAGTAGATATAATATATTACACGTGTTACTGCTAAGCAACAGATTAATAAAAGTAATGAGACTTTTATTTTTGGATAACTAAGAGCCAATGAGCAGACAGGAGTATTTCCCGAATTAATTTTACTTTTACTTATGTTCAGGAGGGTTGGAGTCTTGCAGAACTTTTTCATATCCGATGTGTTGTTGCTGCTCCTTATGTCATTCCGTACAGGTATTACTACTAATACATTGCGTCATAAAACTTCTACGTCGTTTGGTAACGAAAATAGGGTTTTGAAAGAGTGTGGAATAGGATTTGAATTTAATTCTGTGTTTGGAGTTGTTGGATACTATAAGCCATAAGGAATTGAATTAACTGTTAACTTTTTCACTTTTAAATATGGAGTACAAGTTATGAGCAACATTGTATACACTCATCTCCTCCTTAATATTAAATGTATATTTAATGAAATCTCATCGCTTTCTTCTGTATCTTCAACCAAGTACTTTCCAGAGAAGTCCATTTTTCTTAAATATTATTTTTATGAATTTATGATTCCAAACACCTAAAGTAGGATTTGATTTAATATAAATGCTCTTGGTTGTGATAGACCTTGTTGCCCATCAAAAACATATTTAAATAGTTAAAAGTAGGAGGTTTAGTTTATTTCTTTCGGAAATACAGTTCATTAAGCATGCAGCGGATTTCAGCAGCATGTATTATAATATCTACGCGACATTTGAATACAGCTGCGGAATAATTCTGTACTGTCCCTGGGATTTAGTGAGAAAGAACATAATCACGAGTCACAGAGTATGTATTTGCTAATGATTGAGCAAACTGAAAGTTTAGGAGCTATTTTAAGTGACCACAGTCCCAGAAGCATTAGAATTTGGAATCACCTCATACACTTGGGTGGGAATTTGGTGCACTGGTGCTGTGCAAGATTTTCATATATAACTATTTCCTCTGTAGATGGGCATAAAGCATGTTAATTATACTATTTTCTCCCAAAGCACTGTATGGTTCTCTTATCTAGGGTTTATATACTTGATTCTTTGGATACTCCTTAAATGTTTTAAAAGAAAAGATTTACACTAACAAATTGCCTAATTTTCACTTCTCGTGCAATCCAGCGCCCCCTCATCTTTTGAACGCCAATTTAAGAGTGAACTTCCTCTTTTATACAAATATCTTCATGAAGCTCCAACTGGTAAGGTATGCAAGCACACTTCTTTCAGTTTCATTGTTTTTCCATTTTCATTATTGTCAACTTCACGATTTCTTAAGCTCAACATACAGAAGCAGTATCACCTTTTACTCACCAAAAATGTCTTCCTTCGTCTTAATTAAATAATTTTTTACTTGGTGCTTTGGCCTGTGATTTTATCCATAGATTGGATGGGAAGATATAATTCATTGGATGTGGCCACTTTTCACTGATGATTGGGGAACATGGAGAAGCGTTGATCTTCAGTTGAGCTTCTGGCCCTTTACGGTTGTTATTGCTGCCACTAGAAGCTCTTGAAAATTTATGTTTTTAAATGGAATAAGAATTGAATGTTCATTTACTCATATAATGGCTGCTGGTCTCTTGCTGGTTCTAAATCAGGATCCAGTAACTGGCCTTCCAACATGGCATGATAGGCCTTCGTCTCCCTTGCTATTGTAAGAAAATTTTCTACTAAATTTCTAAATAAGATGCTATACGAGTTTCTATCACTTCAAAAAGTTTATGGAAAACTTTAGTATTTTGCCTGTTTTTCGTGTAATATTCACTGGACAGGCTCATTTATGCACCATCTGAGTAGGAAAGAACACGATAATGGGCATTTGGAGATATACTATGAGAATAAGTAGCACTAGTTAATTCATGTTAGCTTGTTGCAGAAAGGCATTATTGAAGCGTTAATCTACTCTTACTTGTAATCATTTGATCTATTTCTTGTTTATAATGGTTTCCTTGTAACTTTCTCGCATATTGGCTAAATGTGGACTTCTTATTATTTTCCGAACCTTTACTCGCTTGGATTAACAGGTATGGCTTTAGCCGAGAAGTTGTCGATTGCCCTGGTAATTTTTTAATCAATTTTTTTCATTGTTGTTCTTTGTATGCAATAAATAACATGTTATCTAAGATTCTTGGATCCAAATCATTTTTTTAGGACTTTGTATCTGTTACTCCTGTGCAAATTTGTCTTTAAGTCAGTTGATTTCCTTCAGTATAAAGTATCATTTGGGACATGCGGTTCTTTCATGGCTGTGTCAACTTCTAAGTTCTAACTGCAGACTTAAGTTCCAAGTGTCATTATGTAGGTGTGTTTGCATGTGACAGGCTGATTAGGTTATTTTAATTTTTTCTCTCAATTTATTTTACATTTTGGCTCTTTGTCCTTGGATACATTTCAACATTCGATAATTGAAATTTCTTGACTTGTTTTTTGTGAACTAAGGTTATTGGTGATGTCAATGAAATAAGGCTCCATTTGGATGGAAGGATTTGAAGGAGGGATTTCAATCCAGAGTAACAAATCCCTCGTATGTCTCTGGATAGAGGGATTTGATGATGGATTTGAAATCCACACCCCTTCATTTTTAGTTATAAATCGAGCCATTAGTGTGGACTTCAAATGACTCCAATATGAAGTCATTTGAAATCCTTCCTTCAAATGCCTTCCTTAATTCAAATTCTTCCATATAAATGGAGCCTAATAGTGTTAGGTTAACAAACTAGTCTTCAGAATGTAGCCTCCCCAGGAAATCAGGAAAAAATAGAAGAGACATCTGCATTTATGATGGCAAAGAGAAAATTCAAGCCGTATTAACTAATATATTATCCGCTGACTTCCCATGTCTCATCTTATCATTTTAGATCTTACTAACTTAAGGTAGTGTAATAATCAATCCTCATTGGGAATTCCGTGGTTATAATCTTTTTTTTTTCCTTCCTAATTCTTCTTATTTGATTCATGCACATACTCTTGCATTACTGTAGGTTACTGGCCATCGGCAGTTCGAGTTTGTGGTTTTTGGTTTCTCCCTGTTGAATGGCAGTTCTCCTGCACCAGGTGTGCAGAAATTTCATCTTTGATTTGTACGAGGAAATTGAATGCTGGAGACGAGTTGTGTTCAATTCATGCCAAGTTAAAATACTTTCTGGATTCTTCTGTAGAGCGGCCTATTTTCATTAGCATGAGTTCTGTTGGTAGGCAAGTCTACGGTTTCTCTCTCTCTTTTTTAATGTCTTTACGGTCCATTGATGAAATTGTTTACAGAAGCTTTGCCGTGAATTATTTTGTTTGTCTATCTTCTTTATATTTCTATTTTCGTTATATCTCGTGGCTTCAGCATTTGTAGCTTAGAGATTTTACATGTTCTTTCTTAAACGCAATGATGCATCTGTACTGATGTAAGCTTGGCTAGGGCTAGTTGAATTTAGGTGCATATTTGTAATACTTTGGTACAAATTTTTGTCAGCCAAAAAATATATTTATTTTTTATGTAGACCCGGAGACAGTAAGTCTTCAAATACATGTGTTGTGAATATGTTAGTGAATTATCTGTCAATACATGGTTGTCTTATCAAGACAGTTATACTACCCTAGATTTAAGCAATAGCAGTTGATGCATCAGCCGAGCAATAACGCTTCAAATAATTTCATCACAGTTGTTATCTATGGCTAGAATTCTTATAATGACTAGCACTTACTAGCACTTAGCCTATGTGCTATGTTATATTATACAATTGTAACTACACAAAGATACTTTGCTACTTCGAGTACTAGGCATTAACTATAGATTTTCTGATCTATTTTATTTGAATTCCTTATCTGCAGCATGGGTTACCTGAGGAATCCCGAAGCATTCCTTCGTGTCCTGGAAAATGTTCTGAAAATCACGAATCATAGATTTATTCTGTTTACGGCTGGTTATGAACCTTTAGATGCTTCTGTCAAAATGTTTGCTCAGACGCCATCAGCTCCAGAACAAATGCAATCTACTGAAATTCAGTGTTCCCTATTTGACGGCCGGCTATTTTGCTTTTCTGGGTTAGTACTTGCAAAAGGTTTAAATATGTGTAATTATCAACTAAATGTAATAAATGAAGGAAAAAAAGAAAAGAGAAATGAATATGTGAATTAATTACACTTCATTTTGTGGGTATTTCGATAAAGTTCTCTTGACTGCAAATGCGGGTTATATCCCAGAAATTGACATAATAAGCTATTTAATGTTTTCGTGTTTGAATGGATGACAGGATACACATGAAGGAGATAAAGTTAGTAAGATGTAATTCTGGTTTAGTTGTAGTCAATTTGTTGTCTGGAATAATAAAATATGTTTGGATTATTGAACCATAAATGCAATGGAGATGTTTTGTTGATCTTTCTATGATCTGAAATATTTGCTTTTGTTCGTATCTTCGCTTAGCCTTTTGAGAGTTTTCATCATTCTGAAATCCATTTTTTTTATATGATAGTGCTGTACCATACAACTGGCTATTTCCAAGATGTGCTGCTGCTATCCATCACGGGGGATGGTGATATTTCTCGGCTAATCTTTACCTCCCTTCAAAATTTTGTAATTTCTCGGCTAATCTTTTCAATTATGACCTGTTATTTTTAGTGGAGCCACTGCCGCTGCTCTTCGTGCAGGAATTCCTCAGGTTTGATATGCAATTTAGCATGGATTTTATTGATTATCACCAGAGTACTCTTTAAGATAATCCTACTATCAAATTTATATCTTCTGCTGATTATGTTTGATACTTTTTCATGTGTTATGACACAGGTTATCTGTCCGTTTATTATGGATCAGTTTTATTGGGCAGAGAGGATGTTTTGGCTTGGTGTTGCCCCAGAGCCACTAAACTCCACTTGCTTGCTCCCCGATAAAGATGACGACAGCTGTATCTTGAAAGCAGCAAATGGGCTTGTGGAGGCTATTGATTGTGCATTGTCTTGTGAAGTCAAGTCTCGGGCTACAGAGATTGGTAATAGAATATCCACTGAGGTAATTTTCATTGGTTAAGTACTACTGCGTTGCGTCGATAGTTACGTATTGATCTTCATTGAGCTTTTTCTGCTATGTTAGTTTTTGTGTTCATTTGCAAGATGGATGCAAGAGTTCATTAAAATGCCGGAAAATTGAAACATAAAACTTTGACGAGAGAGTAACTGGCTATTATGGCTCGCATTAATTATAAAAACGACCCCTGAGGTTTTGCCTATTTACAAAATTCTTCACTTTATAATCTGCATAGGACGGTGTCTCGACAGCTTTGCGGATAATTAAAGACGAGATTATCTCTAGTGGTGCTACCAATTAATTTGGGATAAATCAGTAAGTACTCTAATTCCTCCAGTTGCTTTTTATCCTTGGCAAATTTAGCAATAAGGGTTTGAAAGAACTGTAGGCAATAGTGTATGAATAGGAACTCTATCGTATTAAGTGCTATTTAATATTTATTGGTTACATTTGTTAGAGTTAACTTGTAATTCTTAACATGCTATGTGGTTCCATGCAATTTTTAGGGTAAATTACTGTCATCCGTGAGCTAACGTCAAATTATGAAAAAATCATCTTTGTTTGGGTAATTACAACCACCCCTCAACTATGAATCTTTTTACATGGCCACCCTTGTGGTGTCAAATTCACAGAATCTTCTAAATTCCGTGAAATGTTCACTAGTTTGTACACGTTTTGTGCATAAAGATAGTTTTAGATGCACCACAGTATTTACAAGTCAAGAGACACATCTTGTGATCATCTTGTTTGAAAATGTGAATCTGAAATCGGGTAAAACAGATACAAACATGAGAATATTCCACATAGTCTAGAAGATTCTAATAAATTTGACACAACAAAGGTGAACGTGTAAGAAAATTTATAGTTGAGGGGTCATTGTAATTACCAAAACAAGAGATTTTTTTTTTTTTTTTTAATTTGACCTTATATCATCACCTAATTTACCCAATTTTTTATTACTTAAGTTAAATTTTTTTTTTTAACTTAAATGAGGATAAAGATGTGACCCCAAATAGTGGAATAAAATATAGAACAAAAGGTTGAATTCTTAATTGACCCTTTTATTTTGAGGAGACAAGAGCTTGTGATAATTAAATTGTTCAGTTCTGGACCAGAAAAGTGGAAGTAAAATAAAAGAGGGAAGAAAAGTGATGTAATTGATGCAGAGCAAGCACGCTTGCTAAAGAGATAGGAAAAGAGTGATTCTTCTTTAACGTAATTAATATTTCTTCTTATTCGGACCTATCCTTTGACCCATCGTGGGGTAGGTTAAAAACCCACTTGATCTTTTTAAATAACTTCTTTACTACTATTCAGATTCATACTTTTTTTTTTTTTTTTTAAATTTTAATATTATTAGTTTGTGAAATGCATTTGGATTAGAGAATACCTCTTGTGGAGAAACTTTTTTAGATGACTAATAAACAACTAGTCCCTCATTTGCTTACTTATATCGGATTAGACCAGATTAAATTAGATTGGATTACTTTTCTATTGGTTAACTAATTAAATTAGTTAATTATAATATAATAACACTTAATTGAAAGCTTTAACTTTAGTAGTGGGCTTGAGTCTCGTTGAATTTTACCATCCAAACAACTTACTAACTCCTACTATTTTATCAATCTAACGTAATAGTAACAAGCAAATGAGGCATAATTGATTAAAATCTACCAAAACTACCCAAAATAGTTCATAACAGTCTCTCTCTCTCTCTAAAATGATATGTCCGGTGCATTTGTCCACATCGATTACATACAAGAATTTAATTTTAAGATTTGAACGAAGGATGATAGTCATTGGATTTGCCCAATTTCAGCTAATTTTGTTGTCAGTTAAAATCCAGAGTTGACAAAGTCAACTAAGTGGCCAAAAGAATCGACAGAGATCCCCAAAAGTCAAAAATGGAGTGAAAAAGATAGTCCCACCCACAGAGTGATAGTGGGTTGGTTAGTTCAAGAATTTAATGCACAATCTTGAATGCCATAAAACTCACCAATCCCTCTTTCTCGTGACAAAAACTGCACATCCCATAACTTTTCCCCCAGTTTCTTCAATCATTTTAGATCCATTCCAAATGTTGACTAAAAATACCGCGCTATATACATTTTTTAAACTATTTAACATCCTACATTTACATACAACGCATTAATATAAAAATTTAAGGGTAAATTACGACCACCCGTGAGATATGGTAAAATTACATAAATTCCCATGTTGTTTGAGTAATTACGACAATCGCTCAATTATGAATTTTCTTACATGTCCACCCTTGCGGTTTCAAACAAGAGGGGTATATGTAAGAAGATTCATAGTTGAGGGGTAGATATAATTATTCAAACAAGAGGGGGGTTTTCGTAATTTGACCATACCTCAGGGGTGATTGTAATTTTCCCAAAATTTATTTACCAACCCATTACAGAAATACACTTCATTAAAATGTAGATTACTAAATTTAAAATTTTAGTTAATAGATTATGATGAGTGCATGATTTGCACTCTATTTCATTACTTTTCGATGTGGTGGATTGTTGCTCGTTTTTTGGTCCTTTTTTATTCTTTTTATGTGTTTTTGGTGTTCCTAATATTTTCATAGGTAGGCCATGTGGAAACGAAAGAGTAATGTGTGAAAAATACCACTTCCGAGGCAAAATCAAGGTTTGGAGAATAAATTAAAAAGGTGGTTTTGGCGGTGTGTACAATATTGGTCATAACTCACTCATATGAACTCCAATTTATTCGATTCTAGCGGCATTATGAATCTATTTGGAAGAGCTACAACTCCTATTTCAGGACCATTATCCAAATTTCGATCCGACCAACGAAATAGAAGGGTTGAACTACTTTACATTCGGACTGCAGTCCGAGAATCACAATTCGCCATGGGACCGCGGTTCGAGAGCCTAATTTCCAAAAATCGGGATTTTTATTGCAATAGGAATGTGTTTCTTACGTACTCACCTAGTCTTGCGCCTTTGTAAACATCTTTCCCACATCATAACACGCGTTTTTAGCACCGGGGAAGAGAAAGGACGATCACGAGGATGATGGAAATCCGACAAACATTCACTATAATATTATCTTCTTCTTCTATTTCTTCCATATACGAACTATATTCATGTGTGCAATTTCGTAATATTTTTTTTTTCAACAGCATCTCAAACGTTATACATTCAAGGATGTAAGACCGATCACCATGGTGAAGATGGTGACAAATAAATTTGAGATTCTAAACATATACATGATTTTTCATTAATTAACTTCAAAGTTCAGAATATTTATTTTGGAGAACCATAATAAAATTATGGGGTGTAAAGTGAAAATATATTTTACCCAAAATAAAATTCAAAGGGGAAAATTTATTGAAGAAAGAAAGGTGGGTCGTACTAATTAGTGCTTCCATTCTACTTTTTTCGTCTATTTATTTATGCTTAAATTACGGTCACCCCTGAGATAAGTACAAATAACGAAAAAAAACTTCTTGTGTTTGAATAAATACGACCACCTTTCAATTATATATTATTTTACGAAAAAACCCAGACACCATAAACGTGGACGTATAAGATAAATAATTGATGAATGGTTATAATTATCCAAACACGAGATTTTTTTTTTCATAATTAAAATATACTCCATGGGGTAGCCGTAATTTGCCCTTTATTTATTGACGATTTATTTATTTCATTATCTGGAAAGACAGAATAATAATTCCCATTTTCTATAAATTGGACCTCCCATTTGCACAACTTACACACACACACACACACAAAATATTATAACACTGCGAGTTTTTTAATTTCTATAACAGTAAAAGAGAAAAAAAATAGTATGTCTCAGGGAAGATGCAGTGCACTCGTGGCGGCGGTGATGCTAGCAGCAATGGTGGTGGTTTTCCACTGTGAAGTGGCTGAAGCAGCCACCTTCGCGGTCGGCGGCGGCGGCGGCTGGACCTACAACACCGTCGGCTGGCCTAAAGGCAAGCGCTTTAGGGCCGGTGACACACTTGGTAATTAATTCTCTCTCTCTCTCTCTCTCTCTAGCTCTCTCTCTCTAAAATAATAAATATTTTTTTGTTTTGGTTACAGTGTTCAACTACGGGTCAGGGTACCACAACGTGGTGGCGGTGAACAGAGCAGGGTACAACGGGTGCGCCACCCCCGCCGGAGCAAAAGTGTACCAGAGTGGAAATGATCAGATAAAGCTAGCCAAGGGCACTAATTACTTCATCTGCAATTATCCAGGCCATTGTGAAGGTGGTATGAAGATTGCTGTCACTGCTCTCTGATTGATTTCTCTATACATACATATGTGTGTATGTATATGTAATGTAATGTGTGTGTTTGTTTTTGTGTTGGTTACTTTCTATATGTAATATTAAGGCACTACTTTGTTGGAGGTATGAGTTAATATATAAATTATAATAATAATAATAATAATAATAATAATAATAAAACTAATAAATTAATTAAAGTTTTATTTGATTTACTCCACTCATGTATGTACTTTAAGTCTTTAACTAAAAAATATATATTTTAGCTCAAGTTTTTAATTATTATAAACAAACCTTAATTATTTAATTATTTTAAATGATGTTCATTTAAATCACATTTTATATGGCACTATCTTAAGTAATGATTTGTGGAGATAGTATAGAGAGCACTATCATAAAATTGCTGCATTATTAGTTTATTACCAACACACGTAATAAGGGCCCATTGCCCCCGGCCTGTTATCCTATTTTTATTTATTTATTTTCTTTTCGTTTTATTTATATATGGAACAAGAAAATACAATGATAAACAGGGTAAATTAGAACCACCTCTGAAGTATGGTCAATTTACGAAAAACCCCATCTTGTTTGGATAATTACATTTACATCTCAACTATGATTTTTTCTTACACCCCACCCTTATGGTGTCCAGTTCAGCATAATTATCTAGATTTCGTGGAATGTGCTCTAGTTTGTACTCGTTTTGTGCAAAATACAGTTTTTGATGCACCATAATATGATATATATAAGAAATACATATTTTGATCATTTTGCTTCGAAATGTAGAGTTCAAATGGGATAAAACGGTACAAAAGTGATAATATTCCATATAATCTCGAGGATTCCACTAAATTTGAAACCGCAAGGATGAACGTGTAAAAAGATTTATCGTTGATGGGTGGTTGTAATTACCCAAACATGAGGGGGTTTTCGTAATTTAACCATACCTCAGGGGTCGTTGTAATTACCCAAACATAAGGAGTTTTCGTAATTTGACCATACCTCAGGAGTGGTTGTAATTACCCTTAAAAAAAGGTAGAAGTACATTAGAACTTTGATAATAACCTCACTTAAATAATAATTCTAACGGTCTCGACTTGGTGACAACTTGTTAAAAATACTCATTCGATAATTTAATATTCCATTAAATTAATAAAATTTTGTTAGTCCTAACTGTTTTAATTTACACAGGTTTAACTGTACTATGTTTGGAACATTTATAAGTCAATTCTAATGTTTTACAAATTCAACTAGTGACACTTCAATAGCATGACTTCGTGCCAGGATGACCTAACTGTTTGAGTAAAAGAACACGATATCTAACAATTCGAATTCGATTTACATTGCCAGTATTCTAGTCGGTGCACAATTATAATTGTAAATTATAAATTCGTTTATAAAATAAATTACAACAATAAGTTGTCATAGTTAGAGTTTGACCAATTTAAATATGGGCGAATGGCAAAAATGCCCATCATATGGGACTTAAATGCATTTTGGTCCACAAAAAAAACAGTCTCTCAATTAAAGCCATCCCCATGTCTTTAGTCTAAAATACCCTCAATTATATAATTCTTATCAATTCCACCCATTATGCTCTAACTTCCTTAATATTACACATTAACCCCAGGTTTAAAAAAATATATCACATTAACCCCCAAATTTTTTTTTTCAGAAAATAATTTTTTTTCTGAAATGTTTTTTTTTTCCGGCCAGATTCCGGCGTTGACTTTTTTTTTTTTTTTTTTTGAAAACTTTTTTTTTTCGGCCGGTCAACCACCGTTGACCGCCGGTCTCCAGCGTTGATTTTTTTTTTTTGAATATTTTTCTTAGAAAAAAAATATTTTAATTAATATTACTGTCTTGGCTACTAAATTACTGTCTCAGACAGTAATATTATGAATATTATTTTCCCGAACAGTAATATTATTAATATTATTTTCTATAACAGTTAAATTACTGTTGGAGACAGTAATTTAGCATCAAAGACAATAATATTAATTAAAATATTTTTTTTTAAGGAAAAAAACTAAAAAAAAAGGTCAATTAACAGTTAAATTACTGTCTCCGACAGTTAAGTAACTGCTGGAGACAGTAATTTAGCAACGAATACAATAATATTAATTAAAAATATTTTTTTTAAGAATAAAAAAGTCAATTAACAGTTAAATTACTGTCTCCGACAGTTAAATAACTGCTGGAGACAGTAATTTAGCAACGAATACAGTAATATTAATTAAAATATTTTTGAAGAAAAAATAAATAAAAAAAAGAGTCAATTAACAGTTAAATTACTGTCTCCGACAGTTAAATAACTGACGGAGACAGTAATTTAGCAGCCAAGACAGTAATATTAATTAAAATATTTTTTTAAGAAAAAACAAAATTATAAAAAAAAAAAGAAAAAAAGTCAACGCCGGAGACCCGTAGGTCAACGGCAGTTGACCGGCGAAAAAAAAATTTCAGGAAAAAAAAAAGTTTTTCAAAAAAAAAAATAAAATAAAAAGTATACACCGGTCAACGGCGGCGACCGACGGTCTCCGGTGGTGGCGGGTCAAAATTGGGGTTAAAATTGAAATTAGGGTTAAAATTGGTTAATTGATGAAATTGAACTAAATTGGAGTGTAAATCATGAAATTGGAGTTGAATTGGGTTTCAATGAATTGGGGGTAATTTTGGTATATATAAAAGGATTTTCCTTATTTGCAAATAAGTTTGAATGGGCTGAATTTATTTGAAAGACAAAAAAGTTGGATGTCCATCTTTTAATTAAGTATCCTTGTCATGGGCCTATTTGCCATTACCCCTGTAAATATATGGTGTTTATTAGCTAAAAATTAAAATTAATATTTACCACGCTACATAATTTTGTTAATCCCATCTTTGTAACAAAACAACAAGTCCATAATTAATAGGCGAATGGCAAAAGGGCCCATCACATGAGACTTAAATGCATTTTGGTAAAAAAAAAAAACAGTCTCTCTGTTAAACTTATCCCCATGTCTTTAGTCTAAAATACCCTCCATAATATAATTCTTATCAATTCCATCCATTATGCTCTAACTTTCTTAATATTACATATTGACCACGAATTTAAACAAATATATCACATTAACCCCCTAAATTAATTTTTTTTCAGAAAATATTTTTTTTTTTGAATTTTTTTTTCCGGCCAGATTCCGGCGTTGATTTTTTTTTCTTTTTTTTTGAAAACTTTTTTTTTTCCTGAAATTTTTTTCCGGCCGGTCAACCACCGTTGACCGCCGGCGTTGACTTTTTTTTTTTGAATATTTTTTTCTTAGAAAAAAAATATTTTAATTAATATTACTGTCTTAGCTACTAAATTACTGTCTCAGACAGTAATATTACTGTTTGGGACAGTAATATTATGAATATTATTTTCCCGAACAGTAATATTGTTAATATTATTGTCTAAGACAGTTAAATTACTGTTGGAGACAGTAATTTAGCAGCCAAGGCAGTAATATTAATTAAAACAATTTTTTTTATGAAAAAAAAAGTCAATTTGCAGTTAAATTATTGTCTCATATAGTTAATAACTGCCGGAGACAGTAATTTAGCAACGAATACAATTTTATTAATTAAAAATATTTTTTTAAGAATAAAAAAGTCAATTAACAGTTAAATTACTGTCTCCGACAGTTAAATAACTGTTGGAGACAGTAATTTAGCAACGAATACAGTAATATTAATTAAAAATATTTTTTTTAGGAATAAAAAAGTCAATTAACAGTTAAATTACAGTCTCCGACAGTTAAATAACTGCTGGAGACAGTAATTTAGCAACGAATACAGTAATATTAATTAAAATATTTTTGAAGAGAAAAAAAGTCAATTAACAGTTAAATTACTGTCTCCGACAGTTAAGTAACTGTCGGAGACATTAATTTTGCAGCCAAGACAGTAATATTAATTAAAATATTGTTTTTAAGAAAAAACAAAATAAAAAAAAAAGTCAATGTCGGATACCCGGCGGTCAACGGCAGTTGACAGGCCGGAAAAAAATTTCAGTGAAAAAAAAGTTAAAAAAAAATAAAAAAATAGTCAACGCCGGAGACCGGCGGTCTCCGGCAGTCAACGGTGGTCATCGGCGGCAACCGGCGGTCTTCGGTGGTGGCGGGTCAAAATTGGGGTCAAAATTGAAATGAGGATTAAAATTTTGTTAATTGATGAAATTGAGCTAAATTGGGTGTAAATCATGAAATTGGAGTTGAATTAGGTTTCAATGAATTGAGGGTAATTTTGGTATATATAAAATGATTTTTCATATTTGCAAATAAGTTTGAATGAGCTGGATTTATTCGAAAGACAAAAAAATTAGATGTCCCTCTTTTAATTAAGTACCCTTATCATGGGCCTTTTTGTGATTTATCCTAATTAATAAGTCAAAATTACATAAAATCCCACAATTATAACGCAATCGAGACTTACCAAACTCAAATTATTTCAAAGCAATCTAAAATTAAATTGTCACAAATTTCTTGCAGTCTAGCAAATTCAAAAAAAAATAAAATAAAAATCTAATTAACAAAATTTGTTAAGACAAAAAACGATCAAACAAGATATAAAGGTGAGTTAGTTTGTCTAAAATCATTACACAAAACCAAGAAATAATATATAAGTTTGAGAAAATTAAATAAATAAAATAATTCAAAAAAACAGTATGTCTCAACAGAAAACTATTGTGATGTTGGTTGCAGTGATGATGCTGTTGTCCAACAAAGCATATGCAACAAGCTACAATGTTGGAGACTCTTCGGGCTGGGCCTTTGGTATTGCGGGCTGGGAAAATGGAAAGAGTTTTAGAGCTGGCGATTCCTTAGGTATAATAATATATATACTCATATAATTATTCATCGATTTTATTTATTATTATTATTTTTTTTTTAAATCGATTTATTATTATTAATATATTTTTTTGTGGGCAGTATTCAATTACGGCGCGGGTGCACATAACGTGGTTGTTGTGGATAAGGCGAGCTACGATTCATGCAGTGTGCCAGCAAGTGCACCAACATATACTTCAGGCCAAGATAATATTGTTCTTAACAAAGGCGCTAATTACTTTATTTGTGGATTTAATGGCCATTGCCAGGCTGGCATGAAGATTGATGCTAATGCTTCTTAATTTAATTACCTCCTAAATCCTAATTACAATATTGATTGATAATGTTATTAGTGATAGCTAGAGCCTTATGTAATGGGAGACTTCTTTTTCCTTGTAATAAATATGTATGATGTTCGAGACATTATTGAAATATATATAATCTTATGGTTTGTTAATTAATTTGAGAATGGTTTCATTTGATTTAGTCTAATTAATAATAGATAGAAATAGGAGATTTCCCCTTTATATCCTTGATAGTTTCCCTCTCTATCTCTTTCGATCTATCAGAACAAACTATCTATCAATAGAAATAGCACGTTCATTTCTGTCGCGAAAACATTCCGCCATAATAAAGCGAAGCAGCTAGAAGCACTCGCTTCACGCCCTTAAATTGTTATTCACAGATGAATTGCAAACGGGAAACGAGAATCATAAGCCAGTTAAGAAGGAAATACACTGACTATTACTATTTATTACCGATTGTGTCAATAATTTTTGTTATGACAATGATGCTTAATGTCATAATTGTCACGTATGTTCTAACGTACCCAAAAAAAAAAAAACACTTATATTTTTCTTAAGACCATAAACCTATATTATTAATTACACTCTATCCCTTAATTCAATATTACAATCGTTTCACTTTCGTAGCCGTTTCTCTATAATGACGATTTTTTTTTTCCTCTTTCGGATGCAACTTGTTTCGTTTTAGGTAATTGTTACATGTCTTCTTAAACGCTCGATTGGTCTATGAGATGCCATACCTGGTGAAATACCTCGTACGATTTGCACCATATATCTATAGAAATAACTATCTATTAAGCACGTATACACATGGGTGTGTGTTATTATGTGTAAATCGATGATGCAAAATCACCTAATGTATTTCACCGAATGTAGCATCTACAAAACCTGCTCAAACTATACATTTGATCGGTTTAAATACCTATTTTGACATTCATTTTGTTGAACAAATACGTTTAATTTTGATCAAAAAAATAATTGAAGAAAAAGTAATTACCAATACTATATCGTACCATACCAAATATTTGGCTTATCAATGTTTCGTATACTAGAAAAATACCCCTACACTCTCATGCTCCGCCAATTAGGTCACAATTCTATGCCAAAAAGAAATAGTAGAAATCATAATAATAATAATAATAATAATAACAATAATAATAATAATGATAATAATAATAATAATAATAATAATAATAATAATAATAATAAAAAATAAATGAAATTAAATAAAGAAAATGAAAAGGTCATGAGTTCAATCCCGATCGAAATTAGAATATAATACGTATCAAATTTCAATCTCTAGCTAGTTCAGTTTTATTTCCCCAAATATTTTCAAAAATTAAAAAAAAAATTACTTTACACTTGCAAGGAATTTTATTAATTATTTCAAATTATATGTTAATACAAAATGGATTTTCGATTATGTTTAAATTTTTTTGAAAAAAAGCTTTTTTTTTCGTAATGAGTTAAATTGGAGTTAATTTTTCACTTAGAGAAAAAAATGAAATCTTTCCGAAAATGGAATATTAATTCATCATATGGACATAAAAGTTATACAAATAAATAAAAATTACATAGAATCCCACAATAATAACGCAATTGAGACTTACCAAACTCAAATTATTTCAAAGCAATCTAAAATTAAATTGTCACAAATTTCTTGCTATCTAGGCAAAATTAAAATTAAAAATCAAATTAACAAAATCTGTTAAGACAAAAAAAAAAAAAAACAAGTAAACAAGATATACATCTCTCTATATAAAGGTGAGTTAGTTTGTCTAAAATCATGACACAAAACCAAGAGATAATATATAAGTTTGAGAAAATTAAATAAATAAAATAATTAAAAAAAAAAAGATGTCTCAACAGAAAACTATTTTGATGTTGGTGGCAGTGATGATGCTATTGTGTAACAAAGCATATGCAACAAGCTACAATGTTGGTGACTCTTCGGGCTGGGCTTTTGGTATTGCGGGCTGGGAAAATGGAAAGAGTTTTAGGGCTGGCGATTCCTTAGGTATAATATAATATATACTCTTATTAATTATTATTATTATTATTATTATTATTATTATTATTATTATTATTATTATTATTATTATTATTATTATTATTATTTATTATTTTTTTTTGTGTGGGCAGTATTCAACTACGGTGCGGGTGCACATAACGTGGTGGTTGTGGATAAGGCGAGCTACGATTCATGCAGTGTGCCAGCAAGTGCACCAACATATACTTCAGGCCAAGATAATATTGTTCTTAACAAAGGCGCTAATTACTTTATTTGTGGGTTTAATGGCCATTGCCAAGCTGGCATGAAGATTGCTGCTAATGCTTCTTAATTAATTACCTCCTAAATCCTAATTACAATATTGATTAATAATGTGATTAGTGATGATATATGAATAAACATAGTTAAGAGCTTTTTTGTAATGGGAGGCTTCTTTTTCCTTCTGATAAGTTTCGATGATCTTAGTACTTATGCTTTCTTAATTAGTTTGATAATGGCTTTCTTTGATTTGATCTTTCTTTATTTTGTCTCCTATATATGTAAGAATGATAACGGAGTGGATGTTCGAGAAAAGTACAATACTTTAATGCAATGTTGTCAGAATCTGATCGGCCCACGACCCGACGATAAAACGGTCAGTCTAACATCTAAAATCAGAAAATATGAAAAATTCGGGCTATTCGACGAAACCCGGTTCGACCAGGGAAAACCCGGAAACCGACTAAGGAACTCGGTTTTCGGGCAAAACGGTAATTTTTTTTTTGAATTGTGTGCGCATTGAAAAAGTAAATGATATTTTGACATGAGATTGACAAAATAAGACCCAAGTAAATGTTATTTCAAAATTTGAGCAGAATTACAAGAATTATGGCACTAAAGAAACGTACTTAGAATATTGTTACAACACTAATACGCCATAATATTACACAAATCAAGCAAAAATTACATGAAATTCCACTTTTTCATGCAATATTAATCATCAACACACATATCTATATAAATGCGAGGTAGTATGTTACAAATCATATGCCATTGGATTATACACATGACATAGAATTATTCTGCTGCAACAAGTTGAAGATAAATAATTCAGAAAAATAAATAAATTAATAATAATAATAAAAAAAAATGTATAATCAAGAGAAAAACATTAATGTAATGTTGTGGGCAGTCGTCGTTGTGCTATTGGGAGTTATGCTCGAAAGCAACAAAGTCGATGCAACAGTTTGGAACGTCGGAGACCACGGTTGGACCTTTGATGTTCAGGGCTGGGAATCCGGCAAGAATTTTATGGCCGGCGACACGTTAGGTATATTTTTTTATTTTATTTTTTCTAAATTCAAACAAATAATGTCGATTCTGATTCGAAAAAGTTTGATTTCAGAACATTTTTGTTTATTCTGAAATTATGATTTCTATTTGTTTTTTAAAATTTTTTGGATCAGAATTGGAATATTGTGATCCGATTTTATTTCCGAAAATTCCAAAGAAACACTATACATTTTTAGTTTATTGTTGAGTAAGAAAATAAGATTTTCGATTTCGGAGCAAGTTTTTTAATTCCAACTTTCGAAATTCCGATTTTCAGAACTTCTATTTGAGAATATATCCGGAATCAGTTTTTCACTTTAAAAATGCGAGTATGATTCATTTTTTTTTTTTGATTTTGGAGAAGTTTTTTTTTTATGCTGAAAATTATGAATTCTATTTGTTAATTTTCAAACTCTTTTGGATCAAAATCGGAATACTACGATCCGGTTTTATTTTCAACAAATAATGCAAAAAAAAAAAAATACTATGTAGTATATTATATTTGATTAGGAAAATACAAATTTTTCGATTTGGGAACAAGTTCGAAATTTTGTTTTTGAACTCTTATTTGGGAACAAAAATATCAGAATTAGTTTTTCACCCTTTTTTAAAAATGTATTTTTTCTGAAAGTGTTAATTTTGATTCAGTGCGTCCGATGTTGAACCCTAGACATGATTGACACCCTATATCAATCTCAATTTATTCATTTGTAATAAATTCGACATCTAAATTAATTGTAATTACAAAGATAAAAACGATTCGATTGTTCCGATTTTTTTTATTTTAAATTTTGAAATAAAAAATAAATCGGAACAATGAAATCATCTATTTTTGTAATAACGGTTAATTTAGATGCCGAATTTATTACAAATGAATAAATTTATTCATTCATTAAATGAAACAAAATAATTCTTTTTGCCAAAAAAAAAAAAGAAAAGATTTATTTATTTAATTAATTAATTAATTATTTATTGCAGTATTCAATTACAAAGTGGGTGACCATAGTGTGACTATTGTGAACGAATCAAACTACAAAGAGTGCATAGTTCCAGAAGATGCCATAATATACAGTTCAGGGCACGATGAATTTGTTCTTAATAAAGGGATTACTTATTTTACTTGTGGTATTCTTGGCCATTGCACTGCTGGCATGCACATTGCTCCTTATGCTGCTTAATTTAAACTATCCTCCTAATTAATTACTAACTTACCTTCATTATATTAATGGTGTCATTAGTCATATCTAATAATTAATTAAGACTCCTTGTTATGAGTTACTAGTTTGTAATAATAGATTTGAGGGCTTGTACCATTGCTAATCAATAATATTATTGTTCGGCCAGTTTTTTTTCCTTTTCTTTTCTTTTTTCGTTAATTATTTTAAGATGGTTAATTTTGGATGACTATAAGGAGTTACGGAAAATTTTTATACTACACCCGAGTGATTGTTAATCGTAGATATGCACATAATTAAATAACCCAGTATGTCTAATTAGGACTTAAGGTTACTCTTCTAGGCCGTATACTATTGCACAAGTATTGAATGAGGGAAAATGGATATTATTATCAGTATTAGTATCCATATTAGTATCGATATTGGTATCAGTATTGATATCCGTATTGGTACCAACACTGGTATTAATAATGGCGTATACATCTTATCTCTTTTGCAGTATTTATAAGTTGTATTGTTGTTTGAGTAATATTGTGCATCACTAATTGAACGTCGTTAGTGATAAAATTGTAGGTTATTTGAATATTTATTATGTTACTTCTTAGCTACCGTGTTTGTTGTTAAGTTAGTTACTTTGCATAAGATTGACATGGTGCAGTAGATTGCATTCCACGAAATAGAGTTGTACCATATATTTAAAATAATGTCACTAAATCTTTATATCGTGTTTTGCGCGTTTCCCGTTTTCTTCTATGTAATATTTAATTAAATTTCATATGTTACAACTTTGAATTAAGAGATAAAGTTTATGTTTTTTTATTTCCTTCCATTTTGTTTCACTTGAATTTGCGATGTTATAAAGTGATAGTCGTTTTATATTATTATTTTTTTCTCATTTCAAAACTGACCCCGTGCAACGCACGGATAAAATACTAGTTGATTTGTAATTGTTAATCTATTGCATTTTAGCGCCTATAGTTCAAATATAATGACAAATACTGAGTTTTTGGTTTAAAGAAGTTGACGTAAGATGCATCTTGGCACGAGATATAATTTGAGAGGTAAATGTTGCTAATTTGAAAATATTATGGTGCAAATCTCCAATTATTGTCAATTTCAGGGTTCAAAATGCAATTCACGTTAAAATAAATCTGAATTAGGCAAAATTATTCAATCAACATAGGAGGAGTTATCTCATGGGAGTTAGTTATAGCTACATCGGTTGATTGTTAATCGTAAATAGAGTTAACTAATTATCCACTAAGTACACATACACATGTGTGTAATTATGTGCAGATCTTTGATTAACAAACACACGGTGTTAACAACTAGGTGTAGCATATAATTTCCTTCTTATCACTTCTTATGTATGCAAATTGAATGCTTCAACAAACTATCAATTGAATTGAAAATAGCAAGTTCATTTCGACCGCGAAAACATAGCCGCGATAATATAGCTAAGCAGCTAGAAACAATCGCTTCATGTCCTTGAATTCTTATTCACGGATGAATTGGAAAACGGGAAACGAGAATCATAAGCTATTTAAGAAGGAAATACGCTAACTAGAACTATTTATTACCGTACCTCGACTGAGACCGCTTAATTGCATTACAAGTCCGAATGCCATCCTTTAGTTACAAGCTTTAGTAATATGCTCAATTGGTCTATGAGATGCCACACTCAGTGAAATACTCCATGTAATTTTTCACTATGGATATATACGACGTATAAACATTGGTGCATGCGTGATATACTCTGTGTAAATCAATGGTGCACAATCACTCGATGTATTTCATCAGATGTAGCATTTACAAGACATATTTTGTTGAAAATATATGTCTTGAAAAATAAATAAATAATAATAATAGATAAAATTAAATAACCAAGTGAAAAGTTGTTGAATTCAAATCCAGATCGAAATTAGAATATAATACGTATCAAATTTCAAACTTCAATCCAGTTTTATTTCCCCAAATATTTCAAAAATCAAAACAAAAAATACATTACACTTACAGTGAATTTTATTAATTATTTTAAATTACAGGTTAATAAAAAATTGATTTTCAATTATATATGTTACAAAAATTGAAAAAAGTCTTTTTATTCCAAATTCCAAAATTTCGATTTCAGTTTTTTCCGTAATGAGTTAAATTCAATGTTGTTAGAACCAGGACGGACCGGCCGATTGGATCGGCCGGTCGGACCGGTTCGACCATGACCCGGTGATAAAACAGTCCGATCTGACATCTAAAACCGGAAAAACTGAAAATCGGGGTCAAATGACCAAAATTCGGTTCGACCAGGTAAAACCCGAGAACCGACAAGTCAGTCAAGGAACCTGGTTTTCGGCCAAAACGTATCGAATCACTGTTGTGCTGGTTATTTGTGGCTAGATTTGAGCGAACTTTCACAGACTTAGTAGTGGGTGGCCGAGTCTAGTCATGAGTGATCGAAAGATTGTCAAATATGATCATGGGTGATATAATAGGGGTGGCCGATTGCCTGAATTTGAAGAATAAAAAATGAAAAAATATGGAATATAAGCAATAAAATGTAGTAAAAAGTAAGGTGAAATAGATAAAAGTGAAAATACTAAGTGAGAGCTAAAAAATATAAAGAAAATAATATTTCTAAAACATTAAAATTAATAAAATAATGGCATATAAAAAAAACCCGGTTAAACTAATTCGACCCTATAAACTTATGACTCCAACGGTCGTCCGGTTCTATAGCTTGTCCGGTCATGAAAACATTGGTTAAATTGGAGTTAATTTTCACTTAAGAAAAAAAATGGGATCGTTCCGATAATGGAATCCTAATTCAAATGGATACAAAGTTATACAAACAAATCAGATTACATAAAATCCCACAATAATAACGCAATTGAGACTTACCAAACTCAAATTATTTCAAAGCAATCTAAAATTAAATTGTCACAAATTCTTACTATCTAGGCAAATTAAAAAAAAAAAATCAAATTAACAAAATCTGTTAAGACAGAAAAAACAATTCAACAAGATATACATCTCTATATAAAGGTGACTTAGTTTGTCTAAAATCATTACACAAAACCAAGAAAAAATATATAAGTTTCAGAAAATTAAATAAATAAAATAATTCAAAAAAAAAAATGTCTCAACAGAAAACTATTGTGATGTTGGTAGCAGTTATGATGCTGTTGTCCAACAAAGCATATGCAACAAGCTACAATGTTGGTGACTCTTCGGGCTGGGCTTTTGGTATTGCGGGCTGGGAAAATGGAAAGAGTTTTAAGGCTGGAGATTCCTTAGGTATAATAGTATATATTCTTTTTATTTATTTATTTATTATTATTATTATTAAATTTTATTTTTTTGTGGGCAGTATTCAACTACGGTGCGGGTGCACATAACGTAGTTGTTGTGGATAAGGCGAACTACGATTCATGCAGTGTGCCAGCAAGTGCACCAACATATACTTCAGGCCAAGATAATATTGTTCTTAACAAAGGAGCTAATTATTTTATTTGTGGATTTAATGGCCATTGCCAGGCTGGCATGAAGATTGCTGCTAATGCTTCTTAATTACTTCCCTAATTACAATATTCATTAATAATAACGTGATTAGTGATGATATATGAATAAACAACACAGCTAGAGCTTTTTTGTAATGGGAGCTAGGCTTCTTTTTCCTTCTGATAAGTTTCGATGACATTATTGAAATATATATAATTTTATGGTTTCTTAATTAGTTTGATAATGGCTTACTTTTGATTTGATCTTCCCTTAAATTTTGTTCCTATATTTAAGAATGATAACGTAGTGGATGTCTGTGAAAAATACAATAATATAATTGATCAATGTTGTCAGAATCGGATCTGTTCGATCGGGCGGACCACGACCCAGCAATAAAATGATCAGTCTGACCTCTAAAATTGGATAAGATGAAAATCCGGGTCTATTCCGCGAAACCTTGTTCGACTCGGCGTAAAACCCGAAAACCAGCTAAAGAACTCGGTTTTCAGATAAAAGAGTAAATGATATTTTGTCATGAGATTGGCTCAAGCAAATTACAAAAATTATGGTACTAAAGAAACGTACTTACCATATAAATACAACATTAATACGCCATAATATTTTACACAAATCAAGCAAAATTACATTAATCTCCAATTTTCATGCAATAATCATCAACATGCATATCTATATAAATGCAAGTTAGTATGTTACAAATCATATTCCATTGGATTATACACACATAGAATTATTTTGCTGTAACAAGTTGAAGAAAAATAATTCAGAAAAATAAATAAGCAAATAAATAATAAAAATGTATAATCAAGAGAAAAACATTAATGTAATGATGTGGGCAGTTGTGCTACTGGGAGTTATGCTCCAAAGCAACAAAGCCTATGCAACAGTTTGGAACGTCGGAGACAACGGTTGGACCTTTGATGTTCAGGGCTGGGAATCCGGCAAGAATTTTATCGCCGGCGACACGTTAGGTATATTCTTTTTTTTTTTTCTAAATTCAAAAAATTAACGTCGATTCTGATTGGTAAAAGTTCGATTTCGGAACATCTTTGTTTATTCTGAAATAATGGAAATTATGATTTCTATTTGATTTTTAAATTTTTTTTCGGATCAGAATTGGAATACCGCGATCCAATTTATTTCTGAAAATATCCAAAAAAATACTAATTACATTTGTCTTTTTTAGTTGAATAAGATAATAAAATTTCCGATTTTGGAGTATGTTTTTTATTCCAACTTTCGCAATTCTGATTTTTGAACATCTATTTGGTAATAAAATCAAAATTAAATTTTCACTTTGAAAATGTCGATTTTGATTCAATTTTGGAACAATGTTTTTCTTCTTCCGAAAAATACGAAATCTGTTTTCAAACTTTTTCGGATCAGAATCGGAATACTATGGTCCGGTTCTATTTCCAAAAAATGAAAAAATTACTATCTATTTGTATAATGTACTAGAATAAGAAAATGATATCTTCGATTCTGGAGCCAGTTTTTTCATTCCGATTTTCGAATTAGTTTTTCACTTTAAAAACTTGTAAATTTTTCTGAAAGTGCTAATTTTGATTCAGTGAGTCCGATCTCGAACCCTAGACATGATTCATAAACTATATCAATCTCAATTTATTCACTTGTAATAAATTCAACATCTAAATTAACCGTAATTACCACAATAAATGATTTGACTGTCCCGATTTATTTATTTAATTAATAAATTATTTACTTATTGCAGTATTCAATTACAATGTGGGTGACCATAGCGTGGCTATTGTGAACGAATCAAACTACAAAGCGTGCATAGTGCCAGAAGATGCAAAAATATACAGTTCAGGGCACGATGAATTTGTTCTTAATAAAGGGGTTACTTACTTTGTTTGTGGTATTCCTGGGCATTGCGATGCTGGCATGCACATTGCTCCTAATGCTGCTTAATTTATAATTACTCTCCCACTTAATTACTAATTACATTCGTTAATGGTGTCATTAGTCATTTCTAATAATTAAGCTTTCTTTTTATGAGTTGCTAGTTTGTAATAATAGATCCGTGGGCTTGTACCATTGCTAATAAATAATATTCTTGTTCAGCCAGTTTTTTTTTTTTGTTCTTTCTTTCTTTTTTTTGTTAATTATTTTAAGATGGTTAATTTTGGATGATAAGGAGCTAAGGGAAAATTCTACACTACACCGAGTTATTTATACTGAGTGATTTGTTAATCGTAGATCTGCACATAAACATACATGCTAATTTGTACGTGCTTGTGTGTTTATGACTTAGGGTTACTGTTCAAAGGAGTATACTATTGCATAAGTATTGAATAAGGGCAAAATGGTCAATTGATTTGTATTTGTTAATCTATCGCATTTTAGCGCCTATAGTTCAAATTTAATGATAAATACTGACTTTTTGGTTAAAATCTCACAAGAAATTGACGTAAGATGCATCTTGGCACGAGATATAATTTGAGAGGTAAATGTTGCTAATTTAAAAATATTAGGATGCAAATCTCCAATTATGATCAATTTTACGTTTCAAAATGCAATTCACGATAAACTAAATCTGAATTAGGCAAAACCATTCAACCAACATAGGAGGAGTTATCTCAGGGGAGTTAGTTATATGCTACATCGGTTGATTATTAATCGTAGATAGGGTTAAATAATGATCCACTAAGCACACAAACATATGTTTGCATTATATGCAGATTTAGGGTTACCAAGCACACAGTACTGTTACCAACCAGGTGTAGCATATAATTTCCTTCTAATCGCTTCTTATGCCATGCAAATTGAATGCTTCAACAACCTTCAAAGGTATGTTAGTTCACACTTTTGGTAGACAAGAAATTGAAATTTATATATAAATATGAACTTGCATCCATTCACACTCAATGCAAGAAACCAAAACTTATTTATTAGAATAGTTTATGTGATTATGTACACTTGGTGAAATATATATACATCCCCACATTCGATTTACACACAATTATGCAGTTCATCGAGTGTATCAAAGAATATAATCATCCGATGTGTTGCATTCTAAATCTTCGCATATAAGTTTCCCCTACCAACGCGCAAAAGGCTATATCTAGAAGTACTGATGCATTAGGTTACCTAATATGCTAATTATTTTAGCATTTTAGGAAATCGATGCAGCGATACTTCTACATATATATCGAGCATCTCCTGTACTCGCACGTCACTACATCCATTGGTAAGATTTCTAAACAAAAAAAGATCACATTTTACATCAATATAGGTACGTAAGATTTCTAAAAAACAAAATCTTTGAAAGCTTAATGAAATATGTTTTAAGTCGTACATTAGTTCCGATCCATAGTTTCGTCATCGACAATTATTATATTCCACAATTGTGATGTGATATCTTGGATATTCTAGTATTTCCTATCAAACGTCGAACGATTGAAACACACAAAAAACTATTTAAAGATAAGAAAAACTCTATTATTCTTCTATCATTTTTTTTTTAATATAGAATCCTATTCTAATGAAATAAATTTTAAATATAAGAATCGTAACATTGCACCCCTATTAAATCAACCTTGTCCTCAAGGTTCGATGAAATAATCTTCTTCTTTGTCCATAAACATGCAATCAACTCAGTGCACCTATATAATTGGTTGCGGGTTCCTGTAGAAAAAAAAAATCGACTATTCTTCACAATCTAAACTCAATTATGTATTCAAGTAATCTAACTTACAATAAATAAGTAGATTGTACAAGGTTCTTGTAATCTATCAACTAAGAAAATCTAATAAAGTAATCATGAACAACAAATCTATATAAAGGTGGCTTGGTTCATCTCAAATCATACACAAGCCAAGAAACACAGTTTGAGAAAATTTAGTAAAAAAAAAATTCAAAAAAAAAAATGTCCCAAGAGAAAAATATTGTAATAATGTTGGTGGCAGTTATGTTACTATGCAACAAAGCTTGCGCAACAAGCTACACTGTCGGAGACTCTTCGGGCTGGGACTACGATGTGTCGGGCTGGGAAAACGGCAAGAGTTTCAAGAGTGGCGATACCTTAGGTATATATATAATATTATATATATTCCCGTTTTTTCATTAATAACATATCAATTTATTTAATTGTTATTTATTTTTGTTTGCAGTTTTCAATTATCCGGCTGGTTTACATAGTGTGGTTGCTGTGGATAAGTCGAGCTACGATTTATGCAGTGTACCCGCAAATGCACCAACATATACTTCAGGCCAAGATAATATTGTTCTTAACAAAGGCGCTAATTATTTTATTTGTGGCATCGACGGGCATTGCGAGTTCGGGATGAAGATTGCTGCTAACGCTTTTTAATTAATTACCTCATAATTACATTGAATTAAAATAATAATGTGATTAGTGTTATCCCAATAAACATAGCCTACCTTTTTCTGGTAGTTGCATTGATTAATAATGTAATTGGTGATCGACATAAGAAATTGTTATTCTTGAAGTATATTTACTATTTAGTCCCTAAACAAATGATGTATATGCTCGTTCGAGCTCGACTCGATTGCTTATAAAACTCTGTTCAAGAACAACTTTAAATAATAAAAATTCAAACAAAGTTTGAAAATATATGGTTTTGACTAGACTCGATTTTTTTAGTAAGAATAATGTATTTATATATAATTCTTATAATATATATAGAATGTATTTTGATGTCAAAAATAATAATTATGTCAAAAGAATCAAATGAAAAAAAAATTATTATCCCTATAATCACTAGTGATATATATGATTGTGGAGAATCACTAATATCTTGGTCATAATCATAGGAACTTGATTAATTGATTTTCTCAAATATAAATTAATTACAATTGCATGAAGATTAATAAATTGATTGTGTGCCAAATTAAGCAAATATGTACTAAAATCTCCAAATCAAATAAAATGTGAATTCTAGTAATTAATAAATCAAACAAACTTACCAAAAACTATACGAAGCCCTATTAGTGTATATATAAAGCTCCACATAACCAGGAAAAAATAAAAATAAAAAACAAACAAAATCCCAACTCGAAATAATAAATAAAAAAAAAATGACAGAGGTAATTTCTTTGAGAATTATGGTTTTGTTAATGGTGATTATGAGTAGTTTAGCCTTAATTACAGATGCTAAAGTTTATTACGTTGGAGGGAAGCAAGGATGGAACCAAAATCCACAACTTTGGCTTGGTGACAGAACTTTTAAGGCTGGGGATATACTTGGTATTTTTTATTTATTAATTTTATTTTATTTATTAATTTAATTTAATTTAATTTACTTTGATTTTTATTTTCGATGTTGCAGTTTTCATTTACCGTAAAGGTGAGCACAACGTTGCGGTGTACTACGACGAGTTTTACTACGAGGATTGTGCGGCACCGGACAATGCGACAACATACACGTCGGGGCATGACCGTGTAAAACTTAGGAAAGGGTATAATTATATTATAAGTAGCGTTCCCGGAGACTGCGACGATTATTTTCTTGCTATTTCCCCTTATGCTAAGTAAATTTATATTTAAAATTTTAAATATTATATATATGTATGTATTTCTCCCAAAAAGGAATCTCAAGAAATACATACATAGATATGATATTTAGAGGTTTGATAAATGTTACATATTGTTGGTACTATTAATAAAGATCTTGTGTATGAAATATGAATATGCTTTTGGAGATGGAATAAATTCATATTGGCTTTGATATTTTGAAGTGTTGAATTTGTTGAATGGATCATATCAAAATTAGCATATTTGATTTATTTATTTATTGGAAGTGAAAAACTAATTCCAATTTATTTTCAGTATTTTTGAAATAATATAAAATAGGACCTCCGGAAATCAGAATTAAAAAAAAAAATTCCAAGATTAAATGGAATAACTTCTATTTTGATGCTCAAAAACATAAATTTTCATCTCCAATGGGGGAATTAAATTGGTAGTTATTTTGATATTCAACTTCCCGATGCATCCTGGAAAAAGAGGTATCAAAACATTAACTACCCAACAAACCAATTAAAAATTGACACGTGTCAATATTAAATATATTTATGCTTATATTTAAAATTAGATGATTCATTTAATGCTTGCGGTTGGAGTAAATGAGTATCAAAATAATAAAACGGTATCAAATTAATATTTGATGATCGATTTTGATACTTTACCATTAGAGTTGCTCTAAAGAGAAGTTGAAAAATACAAAGGGATGATTTTGTTAAATAAGAGTTTTTTCTTCCAAAATGAAGGTTTTTTCTTCCATTAAATTCTAAATTCTAAATTCTAAATGATTATAATTAAATTAGAATAACCCAATTATGAAGAACGGAAGCTCCCAGGAATCCTATGCTCACACAAAAATATGATTCTGCTGTAATAAATGAACCCAAATTTATGATTTTAAATCAATTCTATTTATGTGTGCATATAAATATATATTG